ACCATGGGCCATTGTTATGTGGTCTGAGCAGCTGGCTTGGCAGCTCCCGGCAGCCACTGCAATTTCCCTGTCAGCCACACCGTTAACCAGTGTGGAAAGGGTAGTTGCAGTTTACTTTATTTTTGTGTAAATCTGAAACAGTAAATACCGTTCCTGATGACATTTGGAAGAGCTATTTTCATCCATCGGTGGCTCTTTGATGCATTTGAAGATGCCGGATATTCCTAGTTGGCAGACTTTTCACAATTAGAGATTTCAACCTGTTTTCTGTTGTTAAATGTAGGCCTGTTTCTAGCAGAATTAGTCCCCCTGGAATACACCCACCCCGTCATGAAGAGCATATGCAGAATGTGCGCAGATTTCACGAATCCCTGCAGCAAGCCGAAGGGAACGCTCATCAAGCAGCAAAGATGGACTCAGTATCGCTGCCATCACGCACTTCTCTTCTAATTGCTCTCAGGTAAAACAGAGCTAGAGCCAAAGAGGTAATTCAAATGCCTTTCTCCTTACTAGAAGCATTTTTCTCTTGACTAGATTCTAGGTTTAAAACAGGTATAAATTTTAGAAGAATAATATTTATTATCTGTAGGAATATAGGACTGAAAGAGACTTTCTGAGTCATTCCATCTCTTCCCCTGCCTCCACAAGCAATATATCATAAAATCCTTAGATCTTAAGCAGGTAGAAATCCTCAGGTTTTTATCAAGCTCCATCATAAAGTCAATTAATATTCTTGCCTTTATGACTTCTGTTGGAAGGTCATCTCAAATCCAACTCTTTGATTAAATAAGTTTAAAACTAGCTCTTTGTTTTAAATTCCAGCCTAAGTTTCGTAGCTAATTTGGCATTTGTTCTTGAGTACTATCCTCTTGCTTAGACAGAACAACCTCAACACTTACCTACTGATCTGTTTTATCACTAATAACCCTTAATCTTGTATTTGCATGTTTACACGCTGTTGTCTGGAACAATACAAATAGAACCAGTCTGCCATAGGCTTTTTTCCCTCTTATCAAATTTCTTACCACTGCTTACAGAAAAAACTTGAGTGAGCTGGATGAGGTTCAAAGATACTTCAGTCAGAAGCTGACCAGGTCTTTTCCTGACTTCAGTTATGGTAACACATCCAAACCAAGTCACAAGGAGAGAGATCACCGGGGCTTGACAAGCATAGAAGTAGATCCCAGCGGGTGCCATCTTTTGGAAAAATCTACTCAGTTGGTGTCGGAGGTCAGCAGCCTAATCCATGGTAAGTTGTCACTTGGTTTGGAATTTTTTGTCAGAAGCTGCTTTAAAGTATCTTCAATTTTTTTACATAATCGGGACCAGTTCCTGGTGTTGGTAATCAGCACGTGTACCATTGGGAGAATGCTTCAGAGCTTCAGACTCCTGTCAGTAATGGTAGTGTTGAGCCGAAACATTCAGAAGGAAGGTTAAGTGGGAGCCTAAATTCTACTTAAATTTCAATGTCTGTTCAGCAGAAAAAGGGAGGTCTTGCGGAAAAGCAGTCCACAGAACAGTACTGAGCTGAGTCTGTGGTTCTTTGCTAATAAGAATTGGCATATCTCTGTTTTCAGGTGAAATTTATGCCCTACAATGAATAGCTAAAATAAGGCTTTTTGAGGATACATAAGACAAAGCTCTTAGTAAGCAGCTTTATTTCTGTTTAGCACATTCAATACATTTCCTCTTCTAGAGGCATCAGTGCAGTTAATTTTCCCTATCGTTACTGTGGTTGGACACAATAACATCCTTAATAAAGATGGAGTGTGACACAACAGGGAAGGAAACCATATCTCTTCGTACACCTTCTTTTCAGATGTCTGTTTTTCTACTCTGCCTGGCATTTCTAACAGTTCCATTGTAACCACTCATCATCTCGGCACTAGCCTGCTCACTGCAGTTAATTTAATGTTACCTTAACTGTTCGTGCCAACCTGACCTCACACCAGAGGTGCTGTGAGTAGCAAAATGACTAGGAAATCAAATCCCCGCTGGTGCTTTTAAAATAATTCATCAGAGAATAAACTGTGGCTCGGAGGGCTGCCAGCTGACGAGTTTATTCTGTGCTGTTTCTACCTACCGGGAAGCAGCGTTTCCAAGAGATGGACTTGAAGGGCACATTTCTATCATGCCAGAATTTGCCATTCTTCTTTCACCACCTTGATCTTCTAATTTTTTTTCTTTTTCTTCTCCAGGGTTTCGCGCTTTTTGTTCCCCTTCTCATCTTTATTGCTTTGATTGCTTCTTTGTGTGCTATCCTCTACAATCTGCCTCAAACTCTTCCTGCTCCTTTTCCAAATGTCCTCCGCCGTTACCTTATAGCAAGACTTTTTCTCTTGCCTCAGAGTAGCAGTAGTTTGCTGTTTAACCTAAGACTGGTGAACTAATTTCTCAAAGAAAGCAAGAAATTAGTAGGCTCTGTTAACTAGGATCCAAAAATAGGTGACTGCGGCTTTTTAAAGAATTTGTAAAATTCCCAGAGATTTTCAAGATTGCATAGATTTTATTAAAGTTTATGCTCCTGATCCAATCACCTTTTTTCAGAGCCGGTGTTAGGAGCACAGGCAGCTCCTTTTTTTCAGACTTTACAATTTTACCATCACAGCTGAGCAGTAGTCCTGAGTGAATATGTTTCACAAATATTTAATTAACATTTGTCTATCATTTGATTTGAGTTGGCAAATTGAACTGAAAGCTGGAGAATGTCAGTAGCAACTGTATCTTCTGGGTCCCTACATAAAACCGGGGAAATTATGAGAGGAAAATGTGGTTAAATTATCCATCTTTCCTGTCTAGATTATTCCTCTCTCCTTCCCTGGTGGTCTTAACTGTCCAAACTGGTTTTGGCTGCTCCAAGCAATAGGTATTTTTTTCATTTGCTTTAGGTGTATGCTGTATATCAGAGCATTTTCACTGTCCAATTTTTTTTCTTTACATTGATGTAGGTATTTCTACTTATTTCCCGGTAATTTCATCCTGAACTTTTCCTTAGCATTTCAGTCTTCCTCCTGGCCTTGTCAATGGTAAAGGGAGCAGGATGTGATCACATGAGCCGAGCGTTTGACAAAGCTGTGCATGTTTAACTCCTAACCATTCTTACATATGCCCAAATAGATCAGATAAAGGGTGAATTGTTGCTCCGTGCGTTTACTGATGCTGTTTTCTATTAACCAGACTTACGGACTATAACTAAGAACAGTAAAGAATCTTCTAATGTGCATCAAGACAGCAGCAGAAAGCTGGGTGCTACACATGTCCCCAACCAGAAGGATGAAGAAGCCAGACCTGACGTGTATCAAGGCCAAGTTGAGTTGGACTCACGCAGCGTTTGCAGCGATACACAGCAGCCGTGCTCCTTCGGGAGATCTGTGTTTGAGAGACACATGCTGCGGGAATTTCTAGAGCGAGCTGTCCCTGAAGGTGAGCGTCCTTTGCCGATGGACTACATCCAAGAAGACGAAGGTGCTTTTGCTGCCCAGCCACACAGTGAAGAAGACTATGAAGAAGACATTATAGAACCACGAGCTCTTAACGAAGTAACAACCATAACGGACAAAACTAGTCCCTGGTCCAGTGTGCTGTCTGAAGTGGAGCTGGGTGCTGAGCAGCAGCTCGTAGACTCGGGGCCTGAAGATCAGCACGCACTGGTTATAGACTGTTTGAGAAGAGGGAGCAGCAGACGGAGCAGCACCTTCTCCAGCATCCTACGAGGTGACAACCAAAGCATGCTCACCGCCGTTAGCCCATGCGCTAGCCTCCACGCAGACGAGGGTTGTCCTTGGGCAGTTACAGAAGGCTTTCCGAGCTTGAATACTGGCACAGGAACAACAGAGGAGGAGCTGTTTCAGCCTGCTCATTTGTCAGATGTGCATCAAACAGCCAAAATCCCTGTAGAAAATGGAAATTGTGATTGGGATAGAACATTTAACACTAAACCTACAGAGCAAAATGTAGAGTATCATGCAGCCTCTGAAGAAGTCCTGGAATTTCTACCGGATGTTGGTTTGACCAATCCAAAAACCACAGAAGGAGAGAAGGAGGAAAGCATTGAGGTTGTGAATGAAGATCAAGACAAGGAAGTAAGCGGTTCTGATGAGATCTGTGTTAAGAGTGTATCAGCCCAGGCGGGCTTGGAAAGAAGCAGCTTTTCTGATGACAGTAGTGAAGACCCACTGGAAGAGTCAGAAAAGTCTGTCAAACCGAAAATTGTTTTGTATCCTTTTTTCTTAAGCACACATTGCATTCAAGAAGTGTGTCTTATGTCTCGGTTAGAGTCTCACTGGCCCCAGGAAAGAGAAATTCACTGTGTGGAGCTCTTCTCTGGGAAATGAGTGTAAAATTGATGACCTGGGAAGGTATTGGAAAACCTTGTTAAGTTGCAGTTCACGCAGTGCAGTGATGACTTCCTTACCATGCGTAACCAATATGTTCTGTGTTCCATGAGAGTCATTTCATTTTGGGTAGTTTCAACATGTTGTCTTGCTTTTTTTTCTCTTCCACATTGACACTATTATAGCTCTTGTGTTTCTTCTGTATTAAAAGAAATGTAGTTTATTTTGCATTTAAAATACTTTCCCATGTTTCCTACACAGATCCCAAATCTCACATTCAGTTTTACTAAATTGTGTTGGAATTTTTACAGGATGAAGGACTCTACAGATATATGAGGTATTACTGCAAAGCAAGTTGGTGTCCCTTGCTCTGTGAGGCCTAGTGAGAAAACCAGGTGTTCAGAAAGATAGAATATTGATCAAAATAAATGAGATTCACCATCTGGGATCCATTATCAGCTGTTACAGTGAGGCTTATTCCACACCTGCAGCTCCTGCGGAGCTCTGTGCAACTACATGCTGCCAAAGGCTGTTCCTTAACAGTTCTGCTCAGATCTGATCCTGTTGTTGTTCCCAACTTCTTCCTTCCACCCCAGCAGATGGAAGCCTCCATGAGACTGCTCAGCATTTCCTCTCATCCTTCCACAGCTCTGAAAGTAAGTATGAGACATCCTTTCTTTTGTTGTCCTAGCTTAAGGGAGTCCGTTCATTAAAGCAGGAACAAAAGTACTTCTCCCTTTCTTTGTCAGCACTCAGTTTAGAAATAATGGCTTCCAAATCAAATCAAGGAGAATCTTTCTGATTCCTCTACTCTCTCTGAGAATCATTTTCAGCACCATGGCTTCATCGTCGATGATACTCAGGCATTGATGTTAACCAGTTTGTCTGTATACAATAGTGAATGTTGTTCTTCTCCACTGGGGTCAGTGGAAGTGGCAGGTGCTCACTCCACGCTTCTTTGTGCTTTAATGTGAGGTAAAGTGCCTGACTTCTAGGACGCAAGCTGTAACTTGTAATTACAACTCCAGTTGATATCTTTTTAGATCAGGTTGAAATGAGGGAGTTCGCAGCAAGAGAGCCTCTCCTTGAGAGGTATCGAGTAACTGTTCTTTGATGGAAGGAATAATAAAATAGTTGGAGTGACCATTCCTCATACAGGGAAGTTGTTGATTGCTTTTGCTGTTTCATGGGTGGTTTTATGTGCATAAACATTGATTTACTACAAGAGGCCTGTAGCTCAGTTGTTTTGAGGTCTACATATTGTTTTCCAGTCAGAGCTTTACTATGGATGTTGATGTGGATCTGGGTACTGCAGCAGCTGGGCTGTTTGTTTACCACTCCCAGAAAAGATAATGTGTTGGTTCCCCTCCTTATGACCTATGAAACAAATGCTCTATGGAACATTTATGTAATTGGAAACAGCTTGCTTGATTAAACAGAACAGAAACGAGCAGGATCTAATAGCTCTGAAGTAATGGAAACTACTTTAAATTAATAAACATGTTTACAGCTTGGGTAAAATACCTGACTTTTTGCTGGTTTGTGTTGTAAAAATGATTCTTTTTTCTGATTTACATAATACCATCTTTTCCTAAAGGCCTTGAAACTTCTTCCTAGTGAAAGCAGAGACCTCTATCAGAGGAGTCTTGGGCACAGTATGCTTCAAGCATCCTAAGACGTAATCTTGATCGTAACACCTAGACTGAAGTGTGTCTTAGTGCTTCTTAAGCATACTTCTTGTGCTGTGTCTAAATATTTTGGACTAAATCAAAAGCAGTGTGTGTAATCTCCTTCAAATTCTCTGCGTTCACCTCTGTCCATCGCTGATATCCCCATCCATCCCCTCTGCCTCGCCATCTTTCCCCCACTTCTGAGTTCTGCTTTCTCTGCAGAGTTAGCTCCAGTTCTCCCTGCGGAAGCACCGTGTCTTTCTGTGCATCTGCACATCATCACTCAAACCTTCAGTTTAATATTAATATCAGCTTTCCTTGAATTCCTGCTCTCTAGCGCTCAGCTTAGTGGCTAGAAACACACTCCTGAAAGTCATTAATAATTAGGGAGAATATGAGCAAGGCACTATTTGGATACAGCTGACCTTAAACCAGCTTAATTCCAGGATTAGCTACAGCTGATCCTTCTCTGTAGCAACTTGTCTGTTGAGACAGGAGTCAGTTGTGCCTTGTGTTGCGCACCCAGCATCAAACAACCTCTATGAAGAACAAGAAGTTTTTCGCTTATGTTGATGGTAAAATAGTTCAGGAAAACTGCTTTCTCATAGATTTGTTCTTAATTAGCCTTAGCAACATCAGTTTCTAAATCTGGGTTTGTTTGGGTTCTGCACAGTTCAGCAAACGCCAAGCGTGACAGCAAGGCTGAAATCTGAGCTGTTCTCCCCTGAAGATCATCAGTCCCCTCTCGCTCACGTGGCAGCTGGCAAACCTCTCCTGGCCTCCCCAGTGTTCCTGCAGCCTCTCCCTGTCCTGTCCAAGTCCCTGCTTTCCCTGCCTTCCTCCGCAAAATGAGGAGGAAGCAGCTGGGAGGCGAAGCGGGCAGTCGTGGCGAAGGAGCTGGCAGCATTTTGAGACAAAAGGCTGATCTCGACTCATGCTGCGAGGACATGGGGATGTGAGAAGGTGCTGCAGCAGCTTGAGCCTCAGCCCGGATGCTGTGGTCACCTTCCAGGGACCTGAGTTTCACAGACCCTCAGGAAATCTAAAATTTTTTGACCTTTTTTCTCCATTATATCAGATTCAGGCTTCCGGTTCTTGAGGTCTTTCCCAGCTCTCCTCTTCCGCACTGCTCACCCGCTGTCCTGTCTGATCCAGCGGTCCCGGTTCAACTTCTGCCGCTTTTCAACTTCAGTGAACAGCTTTGCACTTTGCTCAGTCCATTTCCAAGCACTTCCTGATACAACTTAGGGAAAATTATCCAAGTCCATGGCTAAACTTAACAGCATCCAACACTTTCGAATTTACTGTAAAGCTACAACTAGTTTTTAAATGAGTCAAAGCAGTTGTGTAAGCGGCCCAGGTTACTATCCAAATCTTATTTCTGACTGTTGCTCCAGCCCCCCTTCTCCTCCCTCTTTGCCTTTACTGTGTTCCTATGTTCCGTATTATTTTATATACTGTTGCTGATTTTTCAGGGCAAAAATCTAATCTCTCTAGGTGTGTTGTTTCACACAGAGGGGTCTGCCACATTGATTCTGGTCAGAGTTTGGGGCAATCATATGCTGGAGTAAGAACCTTTAAATGTGATTCCAGTGAGATGTTGGATGGGAAACCTGCATGCAGACCTGCTGCCTTTCAGAGCTGGCCCAGGTTACTGGTAATGAAGCTGGGTTTGGGGCGGGGCAGGAGGGAGTATTTAAAAAATGGGAGAGTTGTTAAACTTTTCATTTAAATATCTTGATATTTTTTTCCCCTCACCTCTATGAATATTCCAAAGCGTTAAGAAACATATGGAAACCAGTTTTACTCAGAATAATTAATATTTGTATATACACCTAGCTTTTCCTTCAGCGTAAATTAGAAATAACACTTTTATAACCCAGACTTAGGCAGATTCAGAGTAGCAAGCTTTTGATCTGTTCTGAAAATGCAGATGGTTAACAAGGGTCCAAACATCCTTTCTTGGTTGTCATGTTTCTTCTTGATCTGCTGCCATTTCAGTTGCAGCCACTAAAGCTCTTCTTTTTCCTTGCTCCGCTTACTCAGAGAACAGAGCTAAGCCTTTTCCTCGTTAAATTTGTCCTCCTAACCTGCTGAGCAGAAATGCTAACGGCTCCTTGCATTTTCACAATCAGAATAAAGAAAAGGTGGCTGTGTGCTTCACGTCCATTTCGGAGTTGCTGCCTGTGGTCTGTGATTTGATATAAACCTTTTCCTGCCCAGAAAGCAGAAGCAAGTGCAAAGTGACTCCAGGGGCAGGGTGTAGCCTATTAACACAGATCTCTTTTCACTCCTTCATCACTGTGCACAGAGAAAACCGGCCATTAAACTGGCTGAGCCACCCGCCTGAAACGTTCTCCGCCTTGGTTACCAGAATTCTTTGACCTTGAAATAAGCCATCCCCCCAAGACCTATAAAATGCTAATAAATCTGTTTGCTTTACTCCAATGCTTGGCACACGGCGATTAGATAATCCTCAGCCGGTTTAAGTGTCCTCCCATATTGCTGCCCTTTCTATAAAAAGAAAAGCGTGATTTTTCTCTGCGTAAGTCCTCTTTCCTCTTGCATCCTTCTGATGAAACGTGTGTGCTTCCTGGCTGAGCATCAGCTACTCGGAGTCCCTGACTCTCTCGGCTTAGAGACAGAGAGAGGGAGAAGCCCAGGACAGGCGCTGCTAATGCTCAGGGCGTAGTCTGAACCGGTTTCGGAGGGAAGGAATGGTGTAAACACAACATTTCAGGTGTGAGCTCCCAAAACTATGCAGAAGGTGAAAACTCTGGCTGTTTGAAACTGCCCGTTTGATGTATCAAAGGAGCATCTTGAAAACGCAGCATTGCGGCTAGAATGTCTTGCTAAATGTTACTTCTCTGAGGAATTGTCACATTTCAGAGAAAAATAGTTTTATACAGAGGCAAGTATAGAAGTGTAGCTTTTTCCTGTAGCTGTATCCCAAAACTGTTGGCGAAGCCAAACCTGCAAATATAATTTCATAAAGTTCCTGATCACCTGCGCGAGCTGGGAGCATTAACTGTGCTTTTAAACTTCTCTATTTTTGATTCACCCCTGCGCATGCAGAAGAGCAGCAAGAAAAGCTGCTAAACCTTTCCTACAGCTGGAAGTTTGTTTTTAGGAAGGTCCCTGGGATAGCTTCGTGCCTCTGAACGCCCCTGCGTTGCTGCAGGCGGACACGGTGGTCTGGAAATTTGGAGGAGGAGAATTTTAACCACTTCTGTCTGAAGCAGCGTGCAAGTGGTATGTTTTCCAAGCACGCCTTGTTTACAGACACTCAGGAGTGCCCAGACTGCCATCGGACGCCCCGGTGTCATCTAATAGCAGCAGGCAGCTGCTCTTTGGTCTTATTTTCACTTTAGGAGTACAGTGCTCTTTCGGGGTATGTTATTGCACTGATGGCAAAATGTGAGTGAGGGGCTGAATTTGCTGCAGCAGCCTCTGGCCGACCCGAGCAGATCAGGAACAACTCGGTTTGTGACATGCCCCTGGGGCAGGAGAAGTATTGTGGCACCTCTGGATTGTCGACTCTTAAGAGCAAAGGAGAAAATCTCATTTAATTTATCCTTTAGAATCGATTTTAAAAATTCTGACAACCAGTGTAGGATAATTTTGCAGCTATTTTGGGCCACTGGGTTAGTGTAAGCCCCCCAAAAAGTCCTCTTATTTCTGCAGAAATACTCAGCTGGTCTCTGTTAAATTCTTCAGTCTATTTTGTTCTCTTTTCCTTTATCTTATCCCACACAATCTGGTACCTTCTCTTCTGAGTTGCAGGACTTGCAGCTTCTCCCACTGAAATTCATTAGCAATGTCCTGTTGGATCAGGAAAAGCCGTCTGCCTTTATTCCTCACGTTCAAAATGTGAGTTGCCGTCTCTCAGCTCTTGACCGTACAGCACAAGCGCACGTGAGAGGGGAACTGTGAGAGGTAGGAAGCTCAGCTTCGTGGCCCTTTGCAATAGGGTTAATTGGATGATTTGGGGAATTTGATAGAGACCCGTTGCTACAGCATAAACCTGCTCCTGGTTTACTGTTGCAGTTAGCTCCTGCAAGCTTTTCAGCTGCACGTAGTTGCGCAGACAGTCTTTTTTGAGGCATATTAGTGGTGTGGGCTCCTCCAGGGTAGAACAGGGAGCTCATCAGAGGACAAACAGCATCACTGAAACTGAAAGGAAGGAGTTTCTGAGTACAGTGCCGGTGCTGGCTGCAATTTGCCCAGCGTATTGGATTTAAGAGCCAGGTTTTCCTTGGTTTTTTGTTTTCATTACAGTTGCAGACCTTCCTGGGCTGAGGGACAGGGACGGGCCATACCAACTCTTTGCAAATACATAAAACTGGTATTTGGAAGCAAACGCTGCTTAATGTACTAAAACCAGAAGCCTTTTACCAGTGCTCTGAGCTTTCACTTTGAATGATTTTCTCTCTGAACTGCTTATGAATGCTGTGCAGAGAACAGGGACCAGCACCGAGCCAACGCGAGCTGGTTACTGTCCGTCTCCGGCCAGTACTAATGTTTCAGCTGTTTCACAGACAGTTGGCACAGAAAACAGTGTGGGAAGAATAAGCTACTGTCAACTCTGGAGCAGAATATGCTGTCAAAGGGAGGTGGCTTGGCCAGCAAGCGTCTCTCTCTGCTGGTTTTTAAGCTTCTGATGTTGCCAGGTCTGCATTTAATCTCTCTCAGCTTCTTACATTTTGGTTTAGGAGAATCATCTCAGAGCAGTGCTAAGAAAAAAGAAAAACTAAGCAAGGATCCTCATAAACACACATGTACGTTTTTTCAGTGTGGTAAAAATGGGCAGTGTTTGAAGGCATGACTGCCTGTAGCTATTTTCCTGGATACAGCTTGAAGTCTTTCGCAGCACTGTTCACATAATTCACACAATTAGCCGTGTGAAACTGGGGAGATGGTGTTTAGGAGTTGGTAGGTCAGCTTGTCGTGAGCCTTGAGGGCGCTCTTGGTTGCGAAACCACACGAGCTGATCCCACCCTGGTCATTTTTATTTTATTAACCAGCCAGCGACCAAAACCATCGTCTTGATCTTATTGATCTGGCTCCCGAATCCGGCTGCGCAGGAGCCGGCTGGCTCAGTGTATCTGAAAATCTTCCTTTGGGAAACCTTGGCCTGTGGTTACAGCCTCTCTTGGGCTTGTCTGTTTGCAGAAATTGTAGCTGATGTTAAATTAACTTACAGTTAACCTCTCAGGCTTTGACCTGGCTTTAGCAAGCACAGGTCCGCCCAGGATGTAGATCAGGGGGTGGTTTTTATCTGCAGACTGTTCCCCCATCAGGGTCTTCACCAGCGATGCCGTCGCAGGGCCAATACTCAAGGCGCTCGTCGTCTGAGTCCGTAAAGTGCAGGTGACCAACCGCAAAAAAATCTCCAAACCCACTCATTCCTAAAAAAGCCATTTCCCTCCCCAAACAGCGCACGCCGAAGCTGAGAGCACGCAGGACCGGGATCCCAGCGCCGTTTCTTTTGGCAGAGGGAGCTGATCACCTCAGGAGACTTTTTTTCCACCACGACTGTGCCCGGCGAGGCCAAGCCCGGCCGGGACGGAGAAGCAGCTCCACGATGTAGGGGAAAGGTCAGCCCGGCGTATCGGCTTCCCAAATCGCTGCCGCTCGCCAGGAAACTTTCCTGGCCCCGCAGCTAATGAGCCGTGTCCTTAACCAGCACCGCTTGCTTCCACCTCGAAAGGCAGCTGGAGCCAGATCTCTCCCGGTGCTTCATGGGCACAACCCGGCTCTAAACGAGTTGGGGAGAAACGGGAGTTTCTTTGGCCGCTGAAATGATCTGTCTTTAGTGCTGCTGTAAGTGCTGGGAGGAAGCCTGACTGCTGGGTGGGTGCGTGCAAACCACAGATGATGGTAAAATGCCTAAAACAATGGTTTTCATCTCGTGGGCTGCTGAGATGGACCCGTCTATTTTGTCAGTAGGCTTGGAGCTTTACCCCTCCACTGCAAGGTGGTTTGGTTTTGGGGGTTCTGCAAATTAAAAACAAAACAAGAATTGAAAACCAAAAGTCAGGGAGTCAGGGCCCAGCGAATACACTGGTGTGATCCCCTTTGGCTTCATACAAGAGAACTTTGGGTGAGGACAGACATTCACAAACTCAGAGTTCCCCTGCCAGAGCCGGATGGTGTGGTTTGGACCTTTCTTTCTAATTTTGGTTTCTAGATGTTGCTTTCCGTAGCGCTGAGAAAGAATAGCATTGCGACGTCTAATATTGTGTTGGGCAGGGAAGTTATTTCACCATCGTGGATTTTTTTTTTTTTTTTCCCAAACAGTTGGAACAAACAGGTCTTTTTCCAAACAGTTGGAACAAACAGGTCTTTTTCCAAACAGTTGCCTCTCGGTGTGCGGAACAAGAGGAAAAACCCCTCTGAGGAGAACCACAACAGAAAACACATCATGAGGGTTTTTTCCCCCCCACCAAGTGTGTGTCCAGCTTCTCGCAGGACCCCGTGGTTTGTCACGCTCAGAAAAGAGCTGACGTCTCGTTCCCTCTCTCCGCAGAGCAGAAGCGGAGCGGTGCTGGGGGGAATCCCCTACCGAAGGCCGAAGTGTCCCAGGCCCGCGGCCGATCTCTCGGAAGAGGAGACCGAAAGAATCGCCAGGATCTTCTCTGCTCAGCTGTCCAAGAAGGAATAACGGCGGCGAGAGCCCGTCCGCAACGGCTGCTTCCTGAGACACAGCGGCAAAGCCCGGCTCCTGCGGGGAAGAGGAGCTGGAAGCCGGAGGTTTCGGGCTCTGATTTTTAATTTGCCTAATTGGGATCTCGTTAGGACTTTAACGGTCAACCAAAGGGGGGCAGCGGAGCGACCGTGTGTCTTGCAAGGGCAGGTCCCCGCTGAGACTCGCCGCTTCGAGTAACCGGTGAGCTGTTACCTGCTCTCCGGATACTCCATTTTGGGGATTTATTCCTGTGAAATTTCTCTAAGTTTGGGGTTTTTTTGAGTAAACCCAAAGCATCCCCTTTTGAGACAGCTCCTTCAACCAAAGGATGGAGAATGTTAGAAAGGCGCTAGAATTCGAACCGTTGCCTCCCCGCCGGCGGGTGCTGTGGATGGGGAGGGAAGGTGAGCTCCCTCCCCAGCAGCCTTTCAAAAATAGTTGGGGGGGGGGGGGGGAAGCGTGATTTGATGATTTGAGAGGAGTGCGTGTGCCCAGGGTGCTTGTGTAAATACAGGCCAAGGATTCTGTAAAATACTGTTGTGTGTACAAAAGGATTTTACTAGAAATACAGAGCTTTTATATTCTAAATTATTTTTGTACATTTTTAGGTCGGGTACCTTTTAGGATAACAGAGTTTTCTGCAAACTAAGCTATGCTATTTTTGTATTCCTCTCCGGTGTTTGTTTTCAATAAAATTCCTCTGGTTTCTTGCCGTCTGGTGCCGAGTGTCCCGCCGCCAGGTCACGAGCTGGTCATTAACAGGTGGAGGCGACTCCTTCCCCCCGGAGCCTCCGGTGACGGGCGCGAGAGGACGGTGTAGAAATTGTTCCGGGAAGATGATGTGGCTGGGGGCACGCGGAAAGGTCGCTGCTTTGCAAAGAAAATATCACGGCCGAGCCCAGCCTGCCTGGAGTCAGCTCACAGAGGTGAGCGAGCGCTCCTGCTCAGAGCTGCTTTTTCAAACCACGCTTTGAATTCGGGATTTAAGGAGCCAAAGCCTCAGCGCCCCTTTTTCCTCCCGCCTCGGCGGTTTTGCTTTTCAGGGGGGAAATCCTAAATGCATAATAATTCACTGCGAGCACAACTTGCCCACGCTGGGTTAGACCCCGGGGGTGAAATTTGCTCTGCCCTCCCTGCACGCTGCCTGAAGCATCCCCAAAAATCCCAGGCGGGATGCCGGCTGCGATGGGAACGTGGTCACAATGGAGGTGACAGTGTTTGACTCCTATGTCGGGCACGAGATAAATAATCAGCTTTTTCCTCTTGCATTTAGGTCGGCGTTGGAGCGCAGTCTTGTAAAGAACTAAGGAATTGATGCCTCAAACACTCCTCGACACAAAAAGGCTCAAGGACAAGTTGTGGCTTTTGTGATCAGGCTGAGGAAGCCACGCAGGGAACCACAGGGTGTACGAGGAGGCAGGACTCCCCTGCCTGCTGCTGTAGTGCCAAATTCCTTAGATAAGCTTCAAAAAAAGATTGATAAGCTCAAGGCTGGACAGGTACCCAAGAAGAAAGTAAAGGTGGTAAGGGGGAGCATGACTTCACCTCTCATGGAAATGATTTCCTGGAATACCTGCCTCTGTTTAGTGTGCAAATCAGCTAAGATGAACTCAAAAGGTGACAAAATTTTGCTGTGGGTGCACCCACCACCCAAGATTTCCCAACCTGAGACAACGCTGGAACCTGGTGTGGTGACCGGGCGCCTTTCCTTTCCTTCCTTACAGATTCACCAATAAGAGACCCCGTTGCTCACTATCCTTTCCCAAGTTTAAGCTGTTTCCACCACAAGTAAAACATTTTAAGGGGTTGTTTGGTGTTGTTTCACCTTAATTTAAGCCGAGGGGCTCGCAGAACCTTTCTGCCTCCCTGGTTGTACCAGGCCCAGCAGGCCAGGTCAGCCCCGGCGCGGAGACTTTCCGCACATCCCCAGGGATGGGCGAGCGCATCCCTTGGGGCTTTGCGAGTGCAGCACTAAACAGCACCAAGGGTTAAATGCACCAAGTTTTAAGAAAATGGAGGAAAAGGGGCATTTCTTAAGCCATCACCTTGCCCTTGGCCTCCGGCCTCGTCCCGCTCCCTCCTGGGTTTCACCATGCAGAGCGCGACCGGGATTTCCCTGTGAGTCCTGCCCTCGCCGTGCGGAGGGAAGCTTGGTGGTTCCCCACGAGGGATTACGGCTGCGTGGGCCGTGCCGGGGGCAGAAGGGGCCGACCTGCTGCACGGAGGCAGCGGCGGCGGTGGGGAGGACACTCGGTGCTGCTCTGCCTCCAAACCGCTCGCTTTGAAACCCTCTGGACAAGTGGTTGCTGCATCTCGTCCTTCCCAAGAGCTTTTGGGTTAAAAACTGAGCAGATTCCGCCATCCCTAAGGTGCCAGCGGTGGGTGCTTTGCTGCGATGGGTGCTGGTGGTTTGGGCAGGACCCCCCCCACACACACACACCCCTGCCCAAGCCCTGGGGGGGGGGCGGAGCACAGAGGGCTGAACCAGCCACCCCGTCACAGGTGCTGGGTGGCCCCGTTCTCATCCGCTCAAATGCCACAGGAGGGGTGGGGGGAAACGGTTTTGCTGTCACTTGATCCCTGCGGCCAATGGAATGTCCTCCCCGGTGCTATTTAAGGGGGGGGGCAAGGAGCCAGCTCTTAGGGTGGTGGCACGGAGAGGGGTGTAAGGCAGGAGCCGGGACGCGGTGCCGAGGTCCCCACGGTGAGGCCACAGGGAACCCAACCCCGGGCAGGTCACCCTGGGGGAGATATTCTCACCAAACCCCCCCATTTTGGCCAGGGTGGGCTAGAGGAGGGTGGGCACTGGGGAATTGCTGAGTGTGGGAAGCTGCCGTGCCTCAGTTTCCCCAGGGATGTGGGTGAGGAAATAGGGCAGGATTTGGCTTTTGGGGATTTTCCGAAGCCAGTTGGAGCCATCACGCCACATCGTTTCCCACCCCCCCCCCCCAAACCAGATACCTGCTCGAAGCGCCGGCCACCGCAGCAGCCCAGCTGCCCCCACAAACCCCAACCTCCCCCCCCACCCCCCCCCCAATTTCCTTCCAGCCTCTCAGCCACGATGGTGGGGCTCAAACCCCCTGAGGTGCCCCCGACAGCCGCGGTGAAATTCGTCAGCGCCGGGATGGCTGCCTGCATCGCCGACCTCTGCACCTTCCCCCTGGACACTGCCAAAGTGCGGCTGCAGGTACGATCCCCCCGCGCCCCCCCAAATCCCAGGGGCGAAGGGAGCTTCCCCCCACGCCCTAGAGCCGACGGTGGTTTTGGGGGAGTTGGGGGGGGGGGGGGGGAGTTGTGGGGCGCAGGGTGACGCAGTCGGTGTCCCACAGCTCCAAGGGGAGGTGCGGATCCCCCGGAGCACCGGCACCGTGGAGTATCGGGGTGTTTTGGGGACGCTGAGCACCATGGTGAGGACGGAGGGACCCCGAAGCCTCTACAGCGGGCTGGCGGCCGGGCTGCAGCGCCAGCTGAGCTTCGCCTCCATCCGCATCGGCCTCTACGACTCGGTGAAGCAGCTCTACACCCCAAAAGGAGCCGAGAGTGAGTGTCGGGACCCCACGCACCCCTTGTCCCAATGCACAACCCCCCCCCTCTTCCAAAAGGGCACAGACCCACCGCGGGGTGAACAACCCCCTCCATCAAGCGCCTCCCCCCCCCCCCGAACGCAGCCCAAGCCGCTCGCCTCGGGGGTCCCTGCATATTTGGGGGGGGCCAGGGATCCCAGCACTGTCCCTCTCCAGGCACAGGGCTGGCGGCGCGGGTGCTGGCGGGCTGCACCACGGGGGCGGTGGCGGTGACGTGCGCCCAGCCCACCGACGTGGTCAAGGTCAGGTTCCAGGCCAGCGGGGCGCTGCCGGACGGCCCCCGGAGGTACAGCGGCACCGTGGACGCCTATCGCACCATCGCCAGGGAGGAGGGGGTGCGCGGGCTCTGGAGAGGTAGGGGAGGATAGGGATGGGGATGAAGAAGGGGGCAGGGATGAGGATGGGGTTGAAGAAGGGGAGGGGGATGAGGAAGAGGAAGGCAATGAGAAAGGGGATGGGGAGGGGATGAGGAAGGGGACAAGGAGGGGATGGGGTTGAAGAAGGGGATGAGGAAAGGGACAATGATGAGGATGGGGAAGGGGACAGGGAGAAGGGTGAGGATGGGAACTGGGATGAGGAAGGGGAAGGGATGGGTATGAAGAAAGGGACAAGGAGGGGATGGGGATGAGGATGGAATGAGGAAGGGGACAGGAATGAGGAAAGGGACAATGATGAGGAAGAGGATGGGGATAAGGAAAAGACAATGAGAATGGGATGAGGATGGGGACAGGGACAAGGAAAGGGACAGTGATGGGGATGAGGAAAGGGAGAAAGATGAGGATGAGGAAGGGGACTGGGATGGGGGATGTAGATGGGGGTGGAGGCTGGGATGAGGCTGGGGCACCCACGCAGGATGCTCTGGGTGGGGGATGTGACCTGTGTCCCCGCTGCCGCCGTCCCCCTGCGCAGGGACGCTGCCCAACATTGCCCGCAACGCCATCATCAACTGCGGGGAGCTCGTCACCTACGACCTCGTTAAGGACGCGCTGCTGCGGGCGCAGCTGATGACGGGTGAGCCCGGCGCTCGGGTGGGGAGGGAGCACAGGTGGGTGCCAGCCCCATCCCTACAACCCTCAACTTTCTCCCGCCCCCCCCCCCCCCCCCCCCCATCCCAGACAACGTCCCCTGTCACTTCGTGGCCGCCTTCGGGGCCGGGTTCTGCGCCACGGTGGTGGCGTCGCCGGTGGACGTGGTGAAGACGCGCTACATGAACTCCAGCCCCGGGCAATATCGCAACGTGCTCAGCTGCCTCCTGGCCCTGCTCATGCAGGACGGCCTCGCCGGCTTCTACAAAGGGTGAGTTGAGGGACGTGCCCCCCCCCCCTCCCCTCTCCAAACTCAACCCAACGATTTGCACACCACCAGCGTGCGCCAGTTCCCAAACGTTCCCCCGGCAGGGCTTTGGGGACGGCAGGGCTGTGTCTGTGTCCCCCCCCCCATCCCCTTTCCCAAACGCTGCTTTTCCCGGCGCAGGTTCGTCCCCTCTTTCCTACGGCTCGGCTCGTGGAACGTGGTGATGTTCATCTCCTACGAGCAGCTGCAGCGCGCGGTCATGTTGGCCCGGCCAGCCCCATCCTGACCCCCCCACACACACCTCTCTCGTCAGCGTTGACGAGATACAGGAGTAAATTATATTAATTGTGGAAGCGGACAGCAGGGAACAGCGACGCCAAATGCCCCCAGCCCAAGGGGGACAGCCCAAGAGGAACAGCAAGATGGAGAAATGATGGAGTTTGTGGAGAAAAGGGGTAGAATGGAGGGTTCCAGAGAGGAGTAGAGGAAGAAAAAATATTTCTAGGTTTTCCATCCAGGAAGAGCATCGCTTCCCCGTGGGAACAAGGTGAGAGGGGGGAGCAGCGATTCCCGTTCTTCCTCACTCATGCTTCTAATAAATCACCCCTATGGGGTCTGATCGCAGCAGCGCTCGTGGCTCCCTCACCTTTTTTGGGGGGGTTTAGGGTTGTTCTCCCAGCCCTGGGGGAGGGTGGTGGCAAAGGCAAGCCCAAGCTTAGCTGAAAGTTTCCCCAAGTGTTGTGTGTGATCAGGGAGCGACTTTAGTAGAGATGAGTTTTGTGGTAAGAGGGGAAAAAAAAAAAAAAAAAAAAAAAATCAAACCAAAAGCATTGAAGGTGGGTGTGTGGGTTTGTGGCCACGTGTGCCACCTGTGGGGTGCACAGAGCCACCCCCAGCCCCAAGGAGGGCTCATCCCCTCACGCAGGGGTGTGCAGCCTTGAGGCCTTGGTGATGGCCGTGCCCAGTCCTGGGTCCTGCTGCTGCCTCTCTCTCTTTGAGAAAATCGTGGGATCTTAACTAAACCCAGGAAGTCTTTTCTTCCCTCGCTTTGGTCTTTCCCACACCACGTTCTGCCCCAAACCCTGAGTTTCCCCTGCAGGAATAGAGCTGGGAGTATTCCAACCCCCCTGCTAAAATCCTCCATCACCCTCCCCCTGGCTGCCTGGAAAGCTGAATCCCAGGGGAAACTGCTTCAAGGGTGCTGGGAATTGCCTCTGCCTGGTCACAGCGCTATCTCCAGAGCTTTTTTGGGGGAAAAAGAGGGGGGAGGTCACCATCCCCTAGGCCAAGAGGGCGTTTTTCAAGAGCTTTTTCTTGTCAGGCGTGAGCTTCTTGGGAAAGCAGATGTTGAAATAGATGAAGAGGTCACCCTTGCGCCGGGGGTCCTGGAGCAGCGGCATCCCCTCCCCTGGTACCACTTTGCAGTATTTGGGGCTGCAACGCAAAGGACAGGGCTGAGAGGAGCTGGGGGACAACCCTGACACGGAAGACAAGTCCCAAAGTGCCACTGTGTCCACGTGCAGAGCCCCACACCCGTGGATGAGGGGTTTTTTTCGGGCAGGTTTGCTGCTCCAGCTCCAACCAGTGGCCTGCCCTCCTCTTCCAGCCTTGTCCCCACACTGTTCTTGGCGTGCTGGGCTGGACAATGCAGCTCTCATCTCACTCCTGTCCTCCACCCACCCCCACCAAGCCCTCTCCCTGCCTCTACCACCAGCAACACGACCACCAGACCAGAGGGATTAGCCCACGGTGGCATCCTCCTCCTCCAGGAACCCCAAACCTGTCGGAAAAGCTTTTGAAGCGCCTCCATAATTCAGGCGATGGGGACATGCTCCTTTCCCAAGGAGAAACAGGCCAAAGCTGAGGTTCCTCCCAAGCACCCGTTCACCTCCTTGGCCACCAAGCTCTGCAGAAAAGCCGCATCTGACCACCGGAGCCCACCAGTAAGTTGCCCCACGGGACTTACTGCACGATGTCATTGATGGGGATGTTCAGCAGCCTCCCGTCCAGCGTCCTCACGTCCACCGTGCAGCCGATCAGCGCCTGCAAGGCACAGAGCAGGATCCAGAGCTGCATCTGCAGCCCCCCCAAGGGCAAATATAACCCCCTCAGCTTGACTCTTTACCTCTCCCAGGGGGATAGTGGCGACGTAAATGAGGTTGTCGTTGGTTCTTTTAAAGCTGGGGTGGAGTTTCTCTTGGACAACAAAGGTGATGTCAGCTGGAATGACATTGGGGCCCTAAAAGCGAGAGGGGGTGGGGAAATAAAGATATCTGGAAATGGTTTGGTGTAATACAAAAGATTTTACACAGGGAAAGGTGACATGGATGTCTCTGCTGCTGATTACAAAGGGAAAGGGATTTTCTTCCTTTAAGAAAAAAAGTCTTTGATAAATGATTCCTGCTCAGCCAAGGGAAACCAGACTGGGTGATGACAGGCAGAAAACAACCCCTTTAAATTAATTTTTTTTAATCTATCTTAAGGAAAATCCAGGCAGGAAGGGCACCTTAGAGTGGAGCCATGCTGCCAACTTCCAAGCAACGGGAAACCTGCAACGAGGCGCAGTCTGTCTCAAGGGAGCCTGGCCCAGAACGTCACACCACGGTCATTACCTGGTCTCCTTCCTTCTCGAAGGTGATCCTGGTGCCCTGCTTCCACCCCGGCTGCACGTCAATCGTTAGGATCTTATCTCTGATGGTGCTCGTTTGTCCATCTTCGTTCATCACCTGGAGGGTGGGCAAGCAGGTTAGAAAAGCTGAGTCACATAATCACAGACTGGTTTGGGTGAGAAGGGACCTTAAAGCCCACCCAGCCCCACTCCCTGCCCTGGGCAGGGACACCTTCCCCCAGCCCAGGGTTCTCCCAGCCCCGTCCAACCTGCCCTTGAACCCTTCCAGGGAGGGGGCAGCCACAGCTGCTCTGGGCACCCTGGGCCAGCGCCTCACCCCCCGCACAGGGAACAATTTCTGCCTTAGATCTCACCTAAATCTCCCCTCTTTCAGCTTAAAACCTGTCACCCCTTGTCCTATTGTCCTACCCCCACCCCCTGACCCAGAGTCCCTCCCCACCTTTCCTGTCCCCCCTTTAAGCCCTGGGAGGCCGCTGGAAGGTCTCCCCAGAGCCTTCTCTTCTCCAGGCTGAACCCCCCCAACTCTCTCAGCCCGGCCTCCCAGGGGAGCTGCTCCAGCCCCCCCAGCATCTTCGTGGCCTCCTCTGGCCCCGCTCGAGCAGCTCCGTGTCCTTCTGCTGTTGGGGGCCCCCGAGCTGGCCCCAGCACTGCAGGGGGGTCTCCCCAGAGCGGAGCAGAGGGGGAGAATCCCCTCCCTGGCCCTGCTGCCCCCCCTGCTCTGGCTGCAGCCCAGGGCACGGGTGGGTTCTGGGCTGCGAGCGCATGGTGCTGGCTCACAGGCAGTTTTCCCCCCACCAATACCCCCAAGTTCCTCTCCGCAGGGCTGGCATCAGCCCTTCCTTCCCACCAGCTTTCACACCACTTCTCATGCTGCCAAGCCAGGAGAGGAGGGTACCGGTTCAGATCCTGCCAGCGTTTCTGCTGGGCTGTGCTCAGGTCCCTTCCCATGGTACGGACACAGCCCTGTGTCCTGCCGAGCCCACCGAGCAGGACCAGCCCTAAAGCCTCAGGCTCCGCTGCTGAAACCAAGAGGGGGAGCGTCCAGCCCAAAATTCCCCACCCTGCCAAGCACACCCCCCCCTTCTTTATCCCTCCCTGCCCCTACCCTGCGGGAGATCTTAATCTTCTTGGTGCAGCCGTAGAAGAGGTCTTCAAGGGAGAGGTAGAGGTCTCGCACGATCGGGGGGTCTTGCTTGATCACTCCTCGTCCTCGCAGCCCTCCGAAGGGCAGGGTCAACTCCGAGCCATCCTCAGCAAAGAACTCTGTGTGAATAAGAGATGGGGGCGGGGGTGTCACCTCACTGGGATCAGACATCAGGGGGGTCCCCTAGGGTCTCCTTATCATTACAGCTCAGCACCCCAAACATCCCACCCGGAAATCTGTCATCTATTTCTGCCTGGGACCACCTTCCCCATCCAGCTGGCGTGTTTTACCTCCGTGACCATTTTTAGCTTGCTCACCTGTTTACAGCAGTCTTGCCAACCTGAATCCTCTTTCTGATGGAAATCCTTTAAGAAAAGGGTCCCACCAGTAGCTGGGGAGAGCTGAGAGCTTGAACATGCACACTCAGGCTTCTCACTCACCCAGGACTGGGGGGAAGTCAGGATCTAAGCTTCATGCACTGGGGACGAGCAGCCCCAGAGGGGATCTGAGAGTAGCCAGGCAGGGAAACATCCCAGAAAGCGTAAAGCTCTGAGCTGGAGGTGACCACAGCACAACAGCAGACGTAGATGGGGTCTGGGCCACCCCTCAGAGCACCCCCAACCTACCCGCAAAGGGGTTGTCTCCACCAAAGAACTCCTTGAAGACTTTGTCAGGGTTGTTATGAAACACGTAGCCAGCGGTCCAGGGGTTCTCATCATCAAATTCCAAGGGGATGCCACCTTTGAGACCCTCTTCTCCAAATTTGTCGTAGATGCCTTTCTTCATGGCTGGGGGGAACAAATAGGAGTTGGGAATGGCCATGCTCTCCCATGCTGGGGGAGAGCCTGAAATCCAGGTTTTGCTTGGATGGAGGCTGGGGTGTTCCCCACCACCTTGTGACCAGCAAGAGGTGGGGAGCACACACCAGCAATCAGCTGGGCTATGGGTCACTGAGTTGAGGCCACCTTCCTGGGGTGCCAGGGCCCTGGGGGGGGGGGTGCAGAGCTCAGCACACCTCCGGCCACACGAGAGATGCTTCACCCCCCTAAACTCCGTGGAAGAGAACCATCTCCCCACTTACGGTCGCTGAGCACATCGTAGGCCTCCGCCAGCTCCGTGAACCTCTTCTGCGCCCAGGGCTTCTTGCATTTTAAAGGATGGTTCTTCAAGGCCAATTTCCGATAGCTACCAAGGGGAAAGGAAGGGAGAGCCCAGCCTCACAGCCAGCCCCGGGGTGCCAGGACACCCCCACGCCAAGCTGCTCCCTCACAGCTTCTCCCAGACCCTTTGCCCCCCTCAGGCCTCTACTTTGGGGAGCAGGGGAAGGCGAAGCACGGCCACCCCCTTCCCAAACAACCCCCCCCCCCCGGGTCTCTCCCCCCACCCCGAAGACCCCGGGGTTCCCCCGCACAAGTTGAAGAGCCTCTCACGCCTTCTTAATGTCGGCGTCCTTAGCGTCGCGGCCCAGCCCCAGCACGGCGTAGTAGTCCTGCCCCATGGCTGCCCGCTCCCCTCGTTGCTATGGTCACGGCGGCAGCGGGGCGAAGGGCACTTCCTGTCGCTGCCGCGCGGGGCACCCTGGGAGTTGCAGTTCTCCCCGTCTACTTCCGCACTCCGGCCGCCCCTCACGCCCTAGCCCCTCCCCTCTTCATATATTTTTTTAAAAACGTAAGTTTTCTTGGAAAATTTCTTTTCCACACAGATGTTATCAAAGCAGCTGCTTTATTTCAGTCCATACGGTGATACAGTCACCTTCATCGCCTCGCCCCACCCCCCCATTTTATTTCCCCACACCCCACCCTAGAAACAGCAGTTTTGCAGCAGTGAAAAAAAAAAACAAGTTGTTGCAACACAAGATCCTCTAACGCCTCAGAGCCGCTCTCCCAATTAAAAATGATCAAAGTTATCTTGTAAAAAGAAATATTACCTGTCACTAAAACCCTCTGTATAAAGCCTGGTCATCACAATAGCCTCAGAAATTTTTCTATACCTCAGAAACTTCTATATACACATCTCAAAACACGCTGTACAGGCAAATAAACTTAGAAGAGCTATTTCAACACATATCTCCACTATTTGGCTGATCCAAACACTTAAAGGTCAAAAAGCTGGTATCTCCTCACTATCCCATCTCTGCAGCATGTGTAGATTTGCTTCTCCCAAGAAGACACCTGAAAAAGAAGGGATAAAAAAAGGAGTATTTAAGCACAGTATCTCTTAAGTGACAGTTAAAGCTGCTCAGATAGCAGCTTTCCTTTCGGTCTTTTACAGAGGGAAGTGGAGGTGTCCCCTGAAACAGCATTAGCAGGTTTTAAAGGACATCTTAAGGATTCACCAGGAGCTCAGGGAACAGGGAAATGCTCACACAAGGGTGGCTCTGTTAGACCTGAAAGGGAAAAAAAGACTTTTTTCCACACTTTCCTCATGTTTTGCTCATGCCAATGAGTTGTTCAGGTCAAATCTCAGCCTCTGTGTGAGGCTGTTACCCTTCAGGGTGTGTGTTGGTTCGGAGAGAGGGAACGGGACCAAAACAAGAGCTAATTTTCACCAGCACTACCAGGTTGAGAGCCCAGGGAAACCAGGTCACCCTCCCCAGTCTGCACAAGCACAGCAGGGTGTCTGGAAACACAACAGCAAGACCTACTTTCTCGTCTTGAGTCACCAGGGTACAAGAGAAGACTGGCAGCTGCTGGTTTTACCCCAAAGATCCTCTGAGCACAATTAATTCACACTTCCCTACAGAAACACAGCTCTGCCAGAACTACTCCACCAACCAAGCTACTCCACTGTTTTAATTTTGCTCCTGCACGATGGAGATAATGCTGGCGTATACCACAGAAGATTTATTTATGCAAAATACTAAGATAATTCAGCTAGGAAAAATTTAAAAAAGCTTAGAAGTCAATCGTGTGAAGGAACTCGTTGTGAAGGCTGCCAAACCTCAAGATAAAGGCAGCTGCCTGCTACCTGACATCACTTTTCCCTACACCCTTTATCTTGGGCGATAGATCATATTCCTTACCTTGTACACAGGGTCACAGTCAGCTTCTGTGAGATCCAGGACATAATCAAGGTCTTGCTGAACAATAAAGCAGGTTCCATCACCTACACAAGCAGAAGAGATACCAAGCAAGGAAGGAATATCAGTCAATTAGTCAAATAAGCCGTGCTCTTAATTACAAACAGCACTAACAGACCCATCAGAAATGCTTGGAGCGCCCAGGAAGAGGGAGAAGTGCTGTGAGGATGTCAGAGCGATGGGAACAGGTTCTAATCATTGAAAGGGAACTTAGAGGCCCTGCTTTGAAGGATCACAGGAAAAAACAAAATCATAAGGCGAAAAGCAATCATGTAATATCATAGAATGGTTTGAGTTGGAAGGGAAATTAAAGCCCACCCAGTGTCACCCCCCTGCCCCGGGCAAGGACCTCTTCCCCCAGCCCAGGGTGCTCCCAGCCCCGTCCAACCTGCCCTTGAACCCTTCCAGGGAGGGGGCAGCCACAGCTTCTCTGGGCACCCTGTGCCAGCGCCTCCCCCCCCGCACAGGGAACAATTTCTGCCTTAGATGTCATCTAAATCTCCCCTCTCTCAGTTTAAAGATACACAGTTTAAATATAGATCCTACTGCATCATATTTTTGCCATGGACACTGCCCAACCAGCCAGCACTTAAATGTTAGAGAGCAACACCCAAAGAGCACAAAACTTACACAATTTCTAACGGCACAAGACAGCACTTGAGTTACCTTGGCTGGCAATAAACCCATCTCGGTATGGGAGCAGCGAAAGCACGGGTGCTCCTGATCTATGGATGACCTGGATTGGAGCTCTAGAAAAAGGAGCAGAAACAAGAGATGAGTATTATCATCTATAGTCAAGAGCCCATTCCAATGTGCAAACACTGAAAAAAGAATGTGAGCTCTTAGAAGATACACGAAGAAAACATACAGGACATGGGGTTAGCAAAGAGTCTCCATCCTCTAGAAGCAGACAGAAGTCAGCACTGGTTTCCTGCAGATGTTGCCAAAGGATAGAAATGGGAGTAAGTAGCTAACTAGCAGGTGACCACCAGCACGCCTCCACGGTGGATTACAGACAGGGTTTATCTTTACCAAGACACAGACAAAAGCTCGGAGCTCATCCAGCACGAAAGACTCTTCAGACTTCGGTGCCAGCCTCCCCAGCCCCACCCAAAAACACCATCTTGATGTCTTCCTGCTCAGATCTTGACTTTGACACTAACAGAAACCAATTTAGAGCAGATCCTGCGCTGGAATTTCCCCCTGGGGCTGGAATGAGCATCATTTGCCAGGTAAGTGGTAAGATTCTACAAAGACACTTAAGTCTCCCCATTGAAGGAGGGGAAGGTACTGTGCTTTTGGTGGGAGGAATACAGCTGTTAAGCTTTCTGCTAAATCTCCCTACATATATATGTACATAATTATATATAATCACACAGATATTAATATATAACATAATATGTACATTACATGATATAATTTATATAAAATGTGTTATCATTTTTAATATATAATTTTATATATGAAGCAATAATCTGAGAGGTAAGGCTCTGCCAAGAGCATCCCTGGTCAGAAATCAAGACTGAAAAGCCTTTCAGTAACTCAGGAACCTGCACAGAGCCTACAGTCTTTTAGGAGGCACTTTCCAGAGAAGATCCCATTAGATTACCAACACAAGCAAGAGTATCCTCCTCAGCGCTCCCCAGGAAAAAGAAACATCTACAGGAGGCACAGAAGCTCACAGTGCCATGGCTTGGGCTGTATCCACCCTTCAGAAGGGGGATTGTCTGCCAGCAGCCTCCATCTGGCTCTCTTTCCCAGCCAAAAAACTAGCTGCCATTGAAATATTTGCAGCCCCAAGCACTCACTTTGTGTTTCTCACATCCAGTTGATATATGTTCCCATCCTGAGTCCCTGCTAGGATATAGGTACTTGAGAGGAATGTGCAGCAGTTGAATGCATCAGATCCAATGAAGAGGAACACCTGAGAGCACAGAAACAAATGCAAGTGTCAGATAGTCACAGATGAGGACACAGGACACCCAGCAGAAGGAAGCAATTTATTTAGAAGTCAGTACAGTCGCTTCCATGAGTCATGGCACAAAGTGGCAAACCCAGAGCTAGGTTAATAATCCTTCAGCTCTGCTCCAAGACATGCAGAAGAAGAGAGCTCCAAGCTCAGTCTTGCCAAGTCAGCACAGACAGTGCAATCAGTGAATGCTCCTGCGTCTCCTATGGAGAAAGGATGTGTCACTGTGACAGACAAACCGATGCTGAGCTCAAACTAATCTTCACACACCCATGGAGCAGCGAGACCAGACCTGCACAGCAGGTTGACAAAGAACACTCCTTCCTCCCAGAGCCACAGTCATTGGTACTGAGGCTGTGAGCTTTTTCCAGGTGAGCCCTTGCAATCTCACGGAGCAGCCTTGGTGAACATAGATGTTCCACCCAAACTCTGCGTGTCACAAACACCACAAGCAGTTCATGGAATCACAGACTGGTTTGGGTTGGAAGGGAACTTAAAAATCATCCAGTGCCACCCCCTGCCCCGGGCAGGGACACCTTCCCCCAGCCCAGGGTGCTCCCAGCCCCGTCCAACCTGCCCTTGAACCCTTCCAGGGAGGGGGCAGCCATAGCTTCTCTGGGCACCCTGGGCCAGCGCCTCACCCCCCGCACAGGGAACAATTTCTGCTTTAGGTCTCATCTAAATCTGCCCTCTCTCAGTTTAAAAACGTCACCCCTCGTCCTACCCCCACCCCCTGATCAAGAGCCCCTCCCCACCTTTCCTGTCCCCCCTTTAAGCCCTGGGAGGCTGCTCGAAGGTCTCCCCGGAGCCTTCTCTTCTCCAGGCTGAACCCCCCCAACTCTCTCAGCCCGGCCTCCCAAGGGAGCTGCTCCAGCCCCCCCAGCATCTTCGTGGCCTCCTCTGGCCCCGCTCGAGCAGCTCCGTGTCCTTCTGCTGTTGGGGGCCCCCGAGCTGGCCCCAGCACTGCAGGGGGGTCTCCCCAGAGCGGAGCAGAGGGGGAGAATCCCCTCCCTGGCCCTGCTGCCCCCCCTGCTCTGGCTGCAGCCCAGGGCACGGGTGGGTTCTGGGCTGGGAGCACACGGTGCTGGCTCACAGGCAGTTTTTCCCTCACCAACACCCCCCCAAGTCCCTCTCCTTGGGGCTGCTCTGCATCCCCTCCTCGCCCAGCCTGGATTTGTGCTGGGGATTGTCCCAACCCATGGGCAGGACCTTGCCCTTGGCCTTGTTGAACTCCATGAGGTTCACACGGTCCCACCTCTCCAGCCTGCCCAGGTCCCTCTGGATGGCATCCCTGCCCTCAGCGTGTCACCGCACCCCACAGCTCGGTGTCATCAGTGAACTCGCTGAGGGTGCATCGATCCCGCTGTCCCTCTCACCAACAAAGATGTTAAACAGCGCCGGGCCCAACCCCAACCCCTGAGGAACAGCACTCGTCACCACTCTCCACTTGGACATGGAGCCGTTGACCACAACTCTGAGTGTGACCATCCAGCCAATTCCTCATCCACCAAGTGGTCCATCTGTCAAATCCTTGTCTCTCCAATTTCAAGTCAAGTGTTTGACCTGCTACTCATCAGAAGCTCCTGTCCTACTGCCCAGGATGGTCTCAATAAAATTTTCAGTACTTGAGATCTACCAAGTCCATCTCCCTTTGCCAAGAGGAGGTAGAAGGACTGGTGACCACCTAAGGCCTCCTTCACACCCTCCTTAAAACACCTGCCAGAAAAAAACAGCAACTTTACAGGTTGGCTGCATGAGGCAGCCTGCAGTTCCTGCTTTCACAATGACATCTACTGGCCACTGTTTAAATAAGTCTTCCTCACACCTGGGTTAAATTAGTGAGCAATTCTTACTCAACTCCCCCACATACAAATCTGGCCAGTAGGAAGGAGATAAAAATATTATTGTACCAGTTTTTAGTCTCTCCTCCATGGACTACACATGGGGGAGAACACTACAGTGATGACCTTGGCCAAAGGCAGGCAGATCAGCCCTCTCCTGCCTCCAGCCTGGTTCTGTCCCTTTGTGCCACATGGTGAACCTCACCAGGGAAACAGAATGGGATTAACACTAACCAGTTCACCCATCTAGTTTTAACCTGGCTCAGTTCCTCAGCCTAGTGGTCTGCAGAGTCATGTAAAGAGCAGCTTACAAACCAAGGAGCTACTGCAGCAGCAATGGAAACAAAGGGACTGGAGCTGATTTTATAGCAGCAACTCAGGACAATCTCCCAGGCAAGGACTTATCATCTCAGACTACTTACCGGCTGCCTACTCTGCAGTCCCACGCCTTGAAGTTTCTTGTCTTCTCGAGCCAGCAGCAGGATTTTCCCTTCTGTCCCAATCTCACGTTCACCTGACAAAAGGACAACAGTTAATTCCAGCTACGGCTATGCAACAAATCTTGATGGTACCAAAACCTGGATCACCCCTGCTGAACCTACAGCAACATTCCTCCAGACCCTAAGACACCAGCAGGGTAGGCCAGTAATCAAGGAAACCCCAGTCTTAGTCACTCAAACTGCTTGATAAGGCTCAATTCCTCCTCAGGACTCAAGTGCTCTATTCTGGTGACCCCAGTTCTCCCCCTCTAGGTGGCACAAGGGCACACAGCAGCAAGCAACATGCTCAGGATTATAGGTGACAAACCAAAGCAGTTCGGGACAGGGGAATGAAGATTCATATTAAGAGAAAGATGCTTACTAGGAGCTTTTTCAGGCGTGCCCAGGTTCAGTGAGTTGTCAGCAGCACCCACGGCAATGCCGTTGACAGGAGAGCCGCAGTCAGCGATGACACCCAGACAGGCAGATTTTCCACAGTCCCAGAGACGGGCAGTACCATCTCTGGAGCAGGAAAGGACATTTCTTCCCCGATCCACAATGGCAGTGTCCAAAATACCTGCATCACAGCAAAGGCTGTGTTCAGACAGACAGTGTGGAAGGCAGATAGACAAAGGACTTAATTTCCCAAGGGAAACTCAACTACAAGTCCCAAGCCACTGTCCCCAGAGTGCTACCAGTCACATACAACCAAATTGTGTGTGCTGCCACATTGGGCAGGGAGACACATCTAGGAAGAGACATATGTGGAAGGCAGCAGCTCCCAGCAAACCATACAGAATGGGAGCCACCACCTGGCTCAAAGGCAAGATATTACCAACAAAATGATTGGCAACACCTCGCCTCAGACTGAGCTGATACCGCAGCTGCTGTCAAGTTTCTACCTCTAAAATTAACCTCTAACTTGAGCAGAAAACAGTCTGGACCATCATGCTTAAAATGTTACCAAGTCCACCTCTGCATAATCACAAAATCTGTGTGAAGCAAGCAGCATTCACTTTATCCAGCTACAGCAACATCAAAAGATCAGTTTTTCCGCAGATGCCAATGTCCCCTAATGACTTTTATTTCATTGTGGGATGTTGAGTCTAGATCTGAAAAATGACGCAGTGTTTTTTTGGAAGGGAACAGTCAGATGGTTAGTAGATTTAATTGATGTTTTCCCTACAGAAGCAGTTATTAAACATGACAAGCTCAAGTGATAGGACAAGCCAAGCAAACTGAGTGCAGCAGTTTGGGCTAGAGTTACAAGCGGTGAATAAAGTCAACTTCAGAGCCATCAGGAGCCAGGCAGCATCATTCTGACTAAAGCTGTGGTACACCACCTGCCATGATTTGTTTGCAGGACATTTGCAGCAAAAGATTTTGAATCCACACAAGTAAATCACATGAGAACAATGGCAGGTTCAGTGCAAGACAAGTTTCCGAGTTAATCAAATTTTGGGCAACCAGCCACGTTGCTTATTAACCTTTTTGATAAAGCTTTGCACCTTGTGAGACAAGGAAAACAAGAGCCTGTATGGAGCTTGCTCAGGGAGGAGTTCACTTGGGGCAGGGTTTTGGGCATCTGATGCCACATCGGCAACACACTGGCACTTGCTCACAATCACCCAAGCACTCAAGTTGGCAACCCTTAGGAAGCAATCACCACGAAGACAGCATCACTGGCCACTGTGCTCTGGGCCAAGCGTAAACAGGGGTGAAATGGGAGCCTGATTAAGCATTACACATAAATCCACACTGCTTCTGAATAGTGGGTCCTGGAAACCAAATATTCTTTGAGATCAGCAGAGGCCCAGAAGCTTGATCACAGCTCCTGGGAGCCTTTCTGGGTAGCTCATTTTCCATCCTTTGCAGGTCTTCTCTAGGATTAAAACAGCATCAACTGGAGGAGTTTGTAGTGTGGACCCTGAATGCATGGAACAGCACTAAACTCACTATGTAAGGTGGCCAGTGCATCCTCTACATGAGGACACAAAGAGGGTGAAGAATTTACTCTCGTTTTCAGCAGCATGACCATCAGCAGGGGCAGAGCTGAACATCTGCCCTCAGCACAAGGATGAACAAGCTTATTCCAGCCCTTCTTAAGAAATAATCATGTAAGTATCCTTGCAGCTGTTCTTGTTGTGCCTTACTCACTCAACAGCACATGTCCTCAAAGTAGGTAACTGCCTGCCAGAGTTCTGCAACTTGATAATAAACTTCTATATGGTTTTCTGGGCAAGGAAAACAAACAAAAAACCCCAACAAAAAAAAAATGAGAAGCAGCTCTGGAGCAACTGAAGGTGAGCAGGATGATCTGGGTGCAAGCAAGAGGCATTCCCAGTGTAGGCAGCAAGGCTACTGAATGCAGGTCAGAGTTCTCGAGAGCTGCGACTGCCCTGGAGGAACACAACACACTCTGCCTCCACCTCTGTCACTCGCAACAGACTAATGAACTGCTTCCTCTCTCTTTTTACCTTAATGAAGAAAACATGGGTTGGTGAGATAAAGTTTCATCTAATACAACTCCTAAGTTGCTAGAGCTTGATAAAGATACTCCAGACATCAAATACAAATGCACAGCACAAAGTGCAGCAGGCTGGTGACTGAACATTAGCCCTCAGGTGCAAGACAATTATACACACAGCAGATCAAGCATTTTAAAGGATGAGTACTCTGTACCTCCTTTGTGACCTTTAAACGTTACTACGCAGCTGGCATCTTCTGCTGACCAGATCTTTAGTTGGCCATCCATTCCCCCACTCAGAACCACGAGGCCCGATGGGAAAAACCTGCAACAATTCACATCATACACATGGCCTTCCAATAGTCTCTGGAAAAACAAAGAACTATGTGCTAGTTCCATTGTTATCATCCTTATGCCGAGCAATTTCTGAGCTATGACGCTGGAAAACTTGGTGTTCCCACGTGGGCAGAGGATTAAGCTCAAATCCTCTGGGTTTGCATTCCTGGAATGGACTTGTCTGAAATCAAGGCAGTCAAAAAGCTACCAGGTACACTTTGGGCCTCCCTCTACCATTTCAGTAGCTAATTACATAACAAAGGATACTACATGTTTCTAACAACAAGTTAAATGTCTTTGCCCTCTGCCAAACAAGCAGCTGACAGGTCGAGCTCCTCAAGGAACACCTTAACTGACAAGGATGCTAGCCATGTTGGGGTTAGTCCATCACAGGCAGGAGTCTTTTTTCCTCACCTCTTCTCTACTGCAGAGGAAATTCAGTGCTTGTACCATGCAGGTTAGGAGCTGTCATTCCTAACTACCCATTCTCATTCTCACCCTGGGTCTCCTTTCCGGACTGCTGAGCATCGAGTCACACTTTCCAACAGATTTGACTTAAAACCTCTGAGTTGTCAAGTTTCAATTAGCTTTTCAGTCAAAAGCCAGATTCTTGCCTGTCCCAGTCCACAGCGTGTGGACAGCCTGACCACAGCTGAATGTGTGTTGTCTGTGACATTACCGAAATCAATGTCAAAGCTAGATGCTCTTACTCTTATTTCTCCATTTGCAGCCTGCCAGATTTTCATGGTCCCATCTGTGCTGGTAGACACGCCAAGCCCTCCACCACTGGAAATATCAAGACAGGTAATCTGCAGGAGGGTAAAAACACCAAATGTTAGTTTTATATGAGCCTGTATACAGGTATTTCTGCTGAAGAGCCTAACTCTGTACTGGGGGAGGCCTGCTAAGTAGATCATTCAGCACTGTTATCTCCCCAAGACATACTGCTGAACTCATTTAAAAACACCCTAAAGAGCTTCCATACTTCTAGCTAAACAGTTTCAGCCTGATAATATCCTAACATTTAAGCAAAGACTTCACAGGCTTTCTAGACTCACCCTCTCAATATGTTTTATGAGATATTAATTGAGCCCTTAAGAAGGCAAAAAAAAAAAAAAAAAAACCAACTGGATCCTGAAGAGCAGGACAAGGGCAGCATAAAAATAAGTTCTCCTTAATTTATCTGTTCACACAGATTGATGCATTCCTCCTTCAAGACCGAGCTGCTGATCTGGGCTGACACGTAGCCAGGGCTCAGACAAGTTGGGTGACTGGAACCTAACACAAAGCACCCCAGATTTCTTGTAATTGCCACCAAATTTGACAGATAAATTGTTTTTCTCTACCTGCGACTCTGCAGAGATCTGCAAAGCAGGGAGAAAAAGAAATGCTAAGTCAGAAGCCAACACAAACAGCAGCTGTATTTCAGGTTTACTCCAGGTGAAGCGGAAATCTGGATTTTTTCTAGCAACTCTTGTACACAGATTAAAAAAATTGAGCCAAGTTGTTCCAAGCTAGCCTGAGATAACCAGCAACTTGAGAGTGCCCTGACTCACAAGCCCACAAGACATTGTTTGAGATATTTATGAAGCCAATGACACAGCCTAAATTTTCTGAAACACTGACTCAAAACCAGTTCCTTATGCAGGCAGGCTAACCCCTCACACAAGTCTATCACACTAAGGTGTTAACAACTACCCTCTTTGCATAAACACTGGGAGAGATGAACACTTTTGATGACAGCAGATGTTGATCTTATGTTCTTGCCGAAGGGTAGCCTTTCCTGTGATGCCAGGCATCGTTGCTGCCATTTGGGAAGGATAGATGTATTTTAGTTGTGCATGAAATAACAGGTATTCTAGCCTTGAAAGAAATGATCACATCTTCCAACTGATAGAGGTATTTCCAATATAGATTGCAGCAACACTAAACAGACTGAAAAAACAACTATACAGATTTTGTTAGCACAAAGGTTAACACAAGCACTGCATCCTTCAAAAAGCAGCAGAACTATCACAACTATGTAGTGGAATAGCTGCCTTGTCTTGCAAGATTTGGATACTGGAGTCACAGTGTATTACCTCCAAAAGCTTCCTAGTAATTGCATTTGCACTCCATGGATTAGAAAAAATACTGTAGTGGTGAAATGCACTGACAGAAGTGAGAAATGCAGATCATTGTTGCATCACCATTCTGTCCCCTCAACACCACAATGCACAGGTTTCTAGTCTTACTTTGCAGAGTCTGTCAGCGCGCTTGCATGTCCCGACCACCTGGTGGGGCAGGTAAGGGATGAAGCTGCTCATCTTCATCCCAGGCTCCAAATTAAATGCTTTTCTGAACAATTAACTGTTCTTATCCATCCACATGCACGCGCTCAGCCTTAGCTAGCAGCCAGCCTGAAGAGACAGTTGGATTTACTAGTACTTTCACAGGGAAACCTGAAGATATGATTAGATTGAGAAACCTTGTCAAGAAAGATGACAGCTAAAGGCCTGAGATTTAAGGACAATGCCCTCTGGCAGACCAAGGACAAGAGACCTGCATCAATATCCAGCTGTTTCCAGATGTTAAGGAGGATCTCCTATGGCATCCTATTGCCGCACGTGCATCAGCCAGGGTTTGTGGGGACATGATATGTCACACTTCAGTCCCAAGTTCTCCTATTTGATCAAAAGTCAGACCAAACTGCTCTCCTGAAAAGCTCCAACAGCTCAAATCACAACAGGGTGCAGGATCAATACTCAACCACTTAAAAAAAATATTGGGAATTATAACAGGAATTAGAAGATTTAAATAACAGCACAAGATAACGGTTTAGCTGTTAGAACAGCTGTTAAGTACATTTACTTACATATTGGTAATGTGAGAAATACATTGGTAACACAAGTAGTATTTTATATAACAAACCAATCTGTGGTAATTTGCTCCTTGGTTTAAAAAAAAAAAACAACCCACAAAACCAAAACTGTGAAGGTCATTCAAACAGGAACAAAAAGCCTCACTGACACGTGACATACTCCCAAATTTTCAGGAGGGAGCTGTAAACAGGCAAGGCCAAGCACAAGTGCTCAGAACAAGAGGCAGCAGGTAAAAAGGATAACTGGAGCTTAGTCCACACCAATTTAAACTCATCTACATATTAATAGATATTGCTTCAGCTGCCTTCCAGAGAGATCTGCAGTGCAGCTGTAACCCATCACACTCATTTGACAGCAGACTAAACACACCCACATTTCCATTTTGCTGTGCTTTGAATGCATTTATCACACAAAAGGGCAGCTGGGGACTCTTAAGTAGCACAAAGCTCAGAGAAGTGATTCACCTCTGTCTCCAGAGCTGCCTTACTGCCAAGCTCCATCTCTCAGCAGAGCCTCGCTTCCTCTTAAAACAGCTGTAAGAGATATGGAATTGCCTTTCTGTCAAAACGCACCTTGATTTATACCGCTTTTGAGCTTCATTAACAGAGACTGACTTTTCAGCATTTTCAGCTGGGTTTATCACAACAGTTTACTCAATAAATCACAAGACAAGAGTACTAAAATATCTCCAGGAGCCTTTGGAGGACTCCCTGTAGGGCAGGCGGCCGTACCTGCAGGCTACACACTCCCTAGTTTCTTGAATAATTTCCACATAGGGTTAAGTGTTCAGCAAAACGACAGACTCCATCCCAGCAAAGTCAAGTTATGTGCTTCTCTTCAGTGAAGAAATGAAATTTCAGGTCAGAACCAGCCGCTATGTATCACTGTTCAGTGAGAAGCTGCATCCATTGTACCCATCAATCATGGGGTGCAGTAAGAAATTATACAGCAAAATGAGCTGGACTGCGTTTAAGTGAGAAGTTCATGCAATTTCTTTATTTTTTTAAATACAAGCTGAGCTTTCCTGGTTTCTGAATTCCCACTAGGTCACTGAGTTTATGCAAAATTTAATTCCCGGCACCACAAACAGAAATTCATACGGTGAACATCAGAGACAGACAACTTAATTACATGGAAGCAAACAGCTGCTGGGGATAGATTTGAACCAGTCATAGATTAAAAACTCAGTGCCTGGTACCTCTTATTTTTATCTTGTTTTTTCACACACCTTACTCCTTTACAAGGGGATCTGTCATAGGCCTGAAGTGAACAGAAATTAAATCACTTGCAAGAAAACAATCTAAAGAATTATAGACATTATTTTGGGGGGATAAGCTTAACCAAGATCAAGTTTCCTAAATTTCTATGGTTTGATATGTTTTTTTACCTAGTTGACAAAGTCATGCTGCAGGTCACCCCTCAGAACGAGCAAGCAATAATCAGAAACACATTATGAAAGTTCCCGGTCGCTTGCAGTTATTTCCCACTCACTCTGCAAAGTTACTTACGCTTTTCTGATGAATTCTACAAAAAGTTGTGTACGGGGCCAGGAACTTTGTGGACACATTTTCGTGAGGACAAGAAATGAGAATACTTTTCTAGAGGAGGAAAAAGAATTAGAAGTGCTGTTAGTCCTACTGAAACACAGAGCTTGCCAAGGTAGGGCTACAATCTGGTCCCGACTGGTCTCTCACAGTCTAAAGAGTGATGGAAGGTGCAGTGTTGGGTTTGTCTTCTTATATCTCCTCAAGATGCAGACCCTGGGTGGCAAGGGATGGCCACTACGGCTTGGCCACTATGACACACAGCCCCAACATGACTATGGGATGCTACAGACTAGTTCCAGAGCACTGGACAGGCAGGAGGCCAAGGCCAGCTGGGGAGAGACATGCAGGGGACTGGGTGACAGCTTTAGGCTGCAATTTTGTAAGAGGATCACCCTTTTGCACGAGGAAGATGGTCACCAACCCCCGCTCCACCTCAGCCCCAGCACCTTGGTGACTTCCCCAACCACGAAGCCCTCGGAAGCGGCGATGTCAGGGACACCCTCAGTGCTGAGCCCGCGGCGGGTCAGGCTGCCATACAGAGTCGGCTTCCCTGTGGGGAGAGGAGCCATCAGCTCAGCCACACCCCCGGACTCCCTCCAACCCCTCCTAATCCACAGGGCACCCTCACCCCCTCCTAAATGAGGGGGCACATCCGCAATCACCCTCACCTAGTCCTAACTCACAAGTTGCCCCTCACCCACCCTCATGGCACCTCCCAACCACCCTCACCCCGTTCTAAACGAGGGGGCACCCCTACAAGCACCCTCATCCCTTCCTAACCCCCAGAACACCCCCCCAACCGCCCCCACCCTCTCCTAAACGAGGGGACGCCCCCTCACCCGCCTCCACCCCCTCCTAACCCACAGGGCATACGCTCACAACCGCCCTCACCCCCTCCTAATACCCAAGGCTCCTTCGAGCCGCCCAGACACCTCCTCAGCCCACCTCCCCCTCAAGACACCCGCAGGCCCCTCAGCACTCACCGGGGCTCCGGCAGCTGAGCCAGGCCTCGCCCTCGTCCCTCCTGTGGAGAAAAGAAGCGGAAGATGAGGGCGGGGGCCCGCAGGCAGCAGAAGGGACCCGGTAGAGCCGTACCCACCTCAGCGCCTGGCTCCAGTCGCTCTGGATTCGCAGCGTGGCCGCCATTTTGCCGAGACACCCCCTCCACTTCCGCCTTCTTCTTTCCCGTCAGCCCCTGCGGAAGGGGGGCGCGGGAGGGGAACGCTATCCAATGAGAGAGCGATCCCGCGGCCACGCCCCGACCCGGAAGTGCCTGCTCCGACGCCAGCCTTAAAGGGGCCTCGGTGCGCTGGTGAGATGCATGAGGGAGGGGTGAACACCCATGGGTGGGTGCGTGAGGGGGAATGGGCAGCTATGGGTTGGGGAGGGTGCTGGGCACTCATGGGTGGGTGCTGTGGGTGCTCTGAGTACCTATGGGGGATGAGGAGGATGGGCATTATGGGTTGGAGGGCATACTGGGCACCCATGGGCGGGGGTAAGGTGCGGGGGGGATGCTGGGCAGTAAGGTGCATGGAGGGAGGGGTGGGGGGGGCATGTGGTGCTGAGCTCCTCCTGGAGGAGGCATGGAGTGTATAGGGGCACCCATTGGGGGCATAGGCACCCACAGGGATGGGGGGGGGGGGGGGGGGCGCAGAGCTTGCTGAGCACCCTGGGGAGGGGGGTACCCCCCCCCCTCAAAAAAAAGGGGGGGCGATAACCCAAGCAGTGCTCTGAGGGGGAAGGCAGCACCCCAATGCCTGCCCCCCTCCCTCCAGCCCGGCCATGGCGAGGCCCGGTCACGCCAGGAGCCGTCCGTCACGGGAGGAAGAGGAGGAGGAGGAGGAAGACCCAGTGGACGCCATGATTTTGCGGACGGGCTGTGCGGCGCAGCACCGGGAGCTGCAGGAGTGCATGGCGGAGCGGCGGGACTGGCGGCACTGCCAAACCCAAGTCCGGGCTTTCGGCGAGTGCATGGCCCAGCGGCAACGGGCCAAGGAACCGCGGCGGGCAGCCGGCTCCCCCCAAACCCAGCCCTCTCCTGAATGAAATCCCCAACTGGTCCCACCAACCACGGGTACCCCAGGAATGGGGTAACTGCGGTGTCGGGGAAAATTAAATCCAGTGGTTGTTGTCCTGTGCCGACGCGCTCAGCTCCATCTGTGCCACTGCAGATAAACAGCTTGGAGGGGATGGTTGAGGGGTGAGATTGGGATTTTTCAGCCCAAAACTGTCCCAAACCAAGAGCATTCACAGCCCACAGCCTGGGTCTCAGCTCCGCAACAGCCCTAATGTGGATTTCCAATCCGTGTCCTTCCATCCACCATCACAAGGCTTTTCCCAGCAGTGATAACCTTGTGTCCCACAGGACAGGATTTTAGGTGGGATTTCTCTCCTGGGAAGCACCAAGAGCATTGGGGATGGGGAAAAAAAGGCTCTTACAGAACGGGATGCTCCTCTGAGCACCACCTCCCAAATAAGCTCTGAAAACGAAAATAGAAATGCTTTTTGTAGGCTGGAAAGAGAAGGGCATCTGTGGCTTTTGCCAGGGGGAATTTTCCAGGCTGTTTCCCAGAGATGCGAGTGCTGGGGCTGCCAGCCAAAAAATCACAACCAGCATGGGACCACAAATAAATATCCATCAACCCCCAAGCAGCCCCAGTTTGGAGGAGAGGACTAATGAGCTATTTTTCCTCTTTTAAAGATCTGGTGCTTAGAAAGGAGGGAAACAAAAAAAAAAAAAAAACCTCAAACCAGGTTTGGGACATGAACAGAACCTCCTCTTAGACACTTACCAAACCAGAGCTCAAATTTTGTTAAACTTCGTAATGGGATGGTGTGACCAGGTGTCATCTCAGCTCCAGCCTAAATAAAAACAGCCACGTGCACCTCTCAGAATTTGAAATAACAAGGATTACAGCAAAAACTCAGGTGCTGCAACCCATCTGACCCAGCGCCTGTATGTGCACCCAAAAGTCACAGCTCCTGCAGACTCTAGGTTTTTGAGGATGGTGATAAGCTGCTAAGCAGCCCAGCCAAATTTAGGGCATCCTCGGTTCCCCATCCTTTGAGAAAAGCAACAGTCCTAGGAAAAATCATTTGGCACCATCCTGGGAAGCTCCCCAAACTGCTTTGTGCTTCTGAGATTTGTCCCTTTGAGGCACAAGGAATTTCTCCCTTTCAAAATGGCTGTTGTAAGAAGTAGATTGGCTTCAGGGATCCAGGGGAATATTTATCCTTTATGGCTTAAAAGGCAAATCAGAAATTAAGAAGAAATTTTGCATACACTGCCTGACACAGCTCCAACCTTCCTGCCTCTGCCCTCTGAAGCTTTTTTTTCTGTCAAGCAGCAGTTGTTCAGCTGCTTGGGGATGATCATCCCCAACCCTCCCAGCGCTCTGACGCTCCTCTCATGTTGGTGAAGCTCTGATTTAAGCAGCTCTCTAAGAATAAAGAATTGCTCCAGCCTTCAGCTGAAGAAAGAAGCAGAACAGTCACTTCCACAATAATAGCATCTGGGAGAGTTGCAGAACAGCATTATTCATTTGCAAAGATTTCAGCAGACTGAATCTTGCAAAAATCCTCACTAAAAACAAAACGTGCAAGAAAAAAACAAATACAAAAAGTGGGGGGAAGAACTGAGAGAAGTAAACCCACACTTCATTGTGATCCCCTTCACTCAGAGTACAAATCAGTCAGATATAAATACATGTATTTATTAAGACATGCTCCTTAACAACAGTGGAAATTTCCAGTTCACCAAATTACCAGTACAGTGCTCACAAAGCCACCTCCCAGAGGCTCGAGCAGCCATGGAGGAGAAGCCACGCTTTCCCAGTTGTAGCTCTGAAATGGATGGAGCGTTATGCCTCAGTTCATCTGTGCCAGGAGCTCTTCGAGTTCTGGTCGAGACTTTAATCGGCTCTTGAAGTCAGATTCTGTGTGCTGTGGAGGGAGGGGAAAAAAAAAATCCAAACAAATCAGAATCACCTCTTGAAATCAAGAGGAATTAAAACCCTCTCTCCATCACTTGAGAGCGGTAAAACAAAAGACTTAAATGCCCACTGAACCCAGGGAGTGGGAAGCCTCAGTGGGAAGTCACTGCAGGCTAGGATCTCATGGGCAGCTCAATTTGAAATAAGAGGAATTCAAACCCTCTCTCAATCACTTGAGAGCGGTAAAACAAAAGACTTAAATGCCCACTGAACCCAGGGAGTGGGAAGCCACTGCAGGCTAGGATCTCATGGGCAGCTCAATTTGGAAGCTGGTGGCAGAGCTTCGTCCTCCTCCCCTACACCCAGACTCCAACAGGAGCACGTTCTGGGGGTAAATCACAGAGGGCAGAAAGCTGGCAGCAAGCGAGTGCAGCAACCACAGGTATGCTTGGTCACCGCATGGGTTACTCTGAAATTCAGCATTGTAGGCTCCTCCTCACCTGGCTAACTGCTTTGGAAAGAGTGAGCAATGGCACTGTGCTCAAAAAGTCAATTGGATGCCTCCAACGCTGCCACTGCCTATCACCGTAGCATCTACTTTCATCAGGAGACCTGGCACTTTCTCCAGAATTTTGCAAGAGCATCCCAAAGTTTTAATCTCTCTTCTGCATTGCCAGTTGTACAAAGCCACCTTGGGTCTCTCTCCTGGGCTTCCTGCCTCAGACTGCAATGACTTTGCAAATGGCACAATGTCACAGTTCTCCCTCTAGAGATAAAGCCATCAGCCAAAATAAAAAAAAAAAGAAATGGCAGCCCTAAGGCAGACACAGGACTGTGACTAAAGCAGAGAAGATTACTGGACTCAGGAGACCTTCTCCTATATTCCTTCTGGTTTTGCAGAGCTGCAGATAACTAAACATTCTTCAAAGGCCACTTAAGAAGCCAACTGTGTTTTCATGTTTGACTTTAGTGTGTTGCCTTCCATTTCCAGCCATTAAAGTCTTTTAGTCCCTGAACAAAAAGAGCCTCCTGGGACGGTTTTGTCTGTAAAGTGACAGAAGTTTAAATATCTCCTTATTCCTGGTCCACCAGTGAGTGGAGTTCTGTCCTGGAGTCCTCAGTGCTGAGAAAACTGTTGGGCCTTTATGCAGAAAACAAACTGAACCCCTCCCATAGAAAATTCCATCAAAACAGGGCACAGCATTTGGGTTTTGCCTCAGCTTTTCTACCAACTGTTCCGTGGAGTTCCTGGTGATTCCCAGATAAGAGGCAGTGAAGGATCGCTGAAGGAAAGCGTTCCCTTCTGAGTCACAGGGAATCTGCAGCAGCAAAGGAAAGCAACTTGCAACCTGCCATCTCTACAGATCTATAGGACTGGCTGGGAAGGTACCTTCTGTGGCACGAGTTATATAAGGCTAAATGGAAAATTAAACACTCATCAATAATTAGAAGTAATGCTTTTTCATAGGCCAAGGGAGGGCCTGGTTCTGGAGATCCTGGGTATCCCTAAGTCTGGGGTAGAGAGAAGCCTCAGGACCAGGTCTGTATTTTCGAAGCAAAGTCATGTCACGCATCATATCTGCTTCCTAAATGCAAAGGTATTGGTAAAATTAAACATACCTCTTTCACTAATAGATGAACACCTTCAGGCTGATTACTCTGAATAATTTCCAAGAGTATCGGAGCAAATGTTGAACTCAAACCGCTGATCTGAAAGAAGAAATAAAAGTGCTGCAGGAGCAGAACACCACATACAAAATGGACTCATTATACTAATGGCACAGGAAGAATCCATTTCAGTATGAGCCTGTGGCAGTCAACCACTTCATTAGAGCAGCACTCTGACTCGTGTGCACACCTCTCGCATACAGCACAGCCCAGAGCTCTCATTTTGGCTCTTCCCTATGAACACTGTGCTTCCTGTCCCTGCCTGCACACTCTCCTGCATATAAAGAGACTTAAGATGCACAGAGATCTTAATCTAGGTCAGACTCTAATACAAAGGCTGTCATGGCAAACCTGCAAGCTCCAGTGTTAACCACACATCAGCTCTCTCCAGTGGAAATGTCCACCTCTAGGTTTAAAATGTAATTCAGCAGAGGTTTAGCATATAGCAAGGGAACACACTGTAAAAAAGGAAAAAGTCATTTCGGAGAAATATCTAATTACCTCAATCAACTGTACACTTTTGAAGCTGGCCCTGATATTAATAGTATTTTTAAATTTCATTGACTTTGTCCAATCATTCATCCTTAAACATGAGTTTTCTACCCGCTGTATCAAGTATTCAGCATAAAACATATAATAAATCTTCTGGCTGAAATACAGAATCCAGGAACCCTTCCTCTGCTTCTACTTTGTGATGAACCTTTAGCAAGAAATCTAATTAGATTTCTTTGTGCTTCAATTTACGCCCAAATCACGCCTTTCATTTGTTCAAGGGACTTAACTCCAATTGTTAAGGGGTTTTGAGAGCCCGAGATAGGAGGTGCTGCACAAGAGCTGCAGCACTATCAGCAAACGCCAGCTCATACCTGGACAACCCTCTGATGGGTAGTAAGGACCCCATCCAGCTGCATTTTGGAACCTCGCTCTTCCAACAACAGCACTTCGTTGGTTTTAGTGGGCATCGCGTAGCTGCAGGAACCACAGGTCAGTGCTTAGGACAGGGAGGATAGATTTGCACTTTACGGAAATGAATCAACCTCCAGCAGCAGAGAATGTGGAAGGAGATTAACTTTTAATGAGAAATTAATTATGCAAACAATGTATCTTGCAAATCAAGCACTGGCAGAAGCCGGGTGTTTTACTGGAAAGAGATAAGGGAGCAGCTTGCAGCACTACTGCCAGCAAAAACCTGTTTCAGCTACAAACACCAGCCTGAGAAGAGAACTTTTAACTTCTTTATAGTTGACAGAGAGCTTTAAAGCAACAGTTCTGACTTATTTTGTAATCTGTTCATCAGAAACACAGCTAAAAACCACTGCTGCAACAAACCACTCAAAAGACATTATTTTTACCTCTGAATTTAAAAGGAGTACAATCAGGCACTGGATCAGATTCTGCTCTCTGCTTAGTGTTACTCCAGAGATGTCAGCCTCCCCATCTCCATTTGCACAACATCAGTAACAACAGGCTACTTCCTACAGCCCCCACGCTTTACTCTAAAATTTTTGCTCTTAAAGGGCAAATCATTTCTTTCTGTACATACTGAACTCTGAATACCAAGCCCCACCTTGGAGGGCACAAGTATGATACAGGGTAATAACACTTTAAATAGAAAGTGCTATCAACAGTCTCAGGCTGTGTGATTTCTCTGCAAATGCTTTCCAGTGCATTGCTGCTGACACCATTATAATTTCTTAGTGTCACCAGGTATCCTTCTGGAAACACCTATCAGTCACCGATGTGTCAGTTTTTAGTGCTGTTTGGTGCAAAAGGCATCACAGAGAGACCACAAGCAACTGATCTGTGGATCCGGAGTTTCAGATCCAAAGCTGACAGTTCAGCAAAGTGGATAAAGAAAACAATAGGTTTAATTGGCATGAACAGGAGCCAGTGTTTATACTCAGAGGTACAGTTAAAGATACACATTTCAGAAAATCACCACTAAGTGTTTTTACCTCCTTACAGCAACGCAATGCTTCTCCCAATGACTACAGTTCCTTGGTGCCTGTATCACATTCCTCAGACTCACTAAAAGCAGCAAAGTTGTTAAGAGGACTACACCTGCTCCGTTGATCTAGCGAGCAACCGAAGCATCCTTTACTACTAAAGTAGTGGGTAGCTCTCCCACAATCTTCAGGGGTTTCACAAGCTCATTCTAGTTTGTATAACGGGTATCACTTGCTTACTGCACAATATATGATCAGAGCCTGGATGAAATGCTATAAAGAAAAAAATAGCAGCAAAAGTCAGCAATACTTTACTACATTCCCAGGCTCAGCACCCACAGATTTAAGCCTTTTTCTCAAAGGAATTAAAAGTAACAGCTATTTTTTTCCTTGAGATCTGTTCAGTCAGTGCCCGAACAACTCCATTTCAGTCTTTTTTATACGAATAAAGCATCCAAAACCATACAGACACATAAAACCAGAACACCAGGCAGATGACAGAAGATATGGATTTACATGTGGGAATCTATTAGCGAGATTAGATTGCACCCTTGACTGCAAGGTATCACCATCTACGAGCCTCACACAGTCTAACACAACGTGATTGCAAGGGATGACAAACACAGGAGCTGCGTTTCTCATACCTTTCGTTCACTTTAATGGAGAGCTGGTTGCAGAGTTTATGCACATATTGAGCAAAACACTCCACTAGACACATATCATAGGAAGTCATGTGGATGTTGACATCTCCATACTCAAATTCAGTCCCAACATTTATCTCTTTCATCTGTATTTTATCCCTTTTCCTCTTTGGAGCCTGTATTAAAAAAAAAAAAAAAAAAAAAAAAAAAGTGTATTTGGAACAAAGCTGGAAATAAAAAACATTAACTCTTGCCCACACAGGAGACCGTACTAGGGTACTCTTTAACAAAGGTTTGCTGAACTGTGTCAAACATATCACAGCCCATCTGTGCTCACTTTCCCTGACTGCAAAACTGGGATGACATTATCTTAACAGATGTTCTTGAGTTGAGCATTTCAGTTCTTGGATGGCAGCACCACAGAAGTCACACAGAAAATACGTGCATACCATGATTAATTTCTTCCAGAAGAAACCAAGGAGTAGAAAACAAACTGCTTTTTATTTCAGTTGCTGCCTTTGAGACAGCTGTCTATATGAGTTATTGTTTTCTCCTTCCACAAAAACTGTCATCTTTCCAAACTTCAGGGAATGTAAAAAGTTTAAATGCAAATAAGACCTGCTTACAATATTCTGCAATCATTTGAAGCTGGGGTGTTAAATTCAGCACCAGGAAGAGATTCCTCCTTCCCCAAACTACTCACTAACTTAAACAATCATGTGCCGGACAAAAACAAGTATTTATGCAGTGTTGCAAGTGGGTACTTCATGTGATATAACACCCTTTACTGAGAAAAGCAACAGTAAACTATTACATTACTCTTTTTTAACATGACTCATCAGCGATGGAATGAATAATACCAACATTTAAATGAGACTGTAAAATGATGGGTCAGCTGAAAGCAAGTACACTAGAGGAGTTCTTATGCCTACCTCCTTTGGGAGCAGGTATTTAAACCTCCCAATACCATGCGTAGGATTGGATCTGTAGTGTCTGTGGCAACCCACAAGCGCATCACCTTAAAAATCAAAGCAGAGCAAACATGTTTCCAGCTGAATGGCAGGCAGCCCTTATTTTAACAACCATACACAGGTGCTTTGAGAGCCCAAAATTCACACTGGGCACAAGAATTTGTCCTCGGCTCTTTGACAGACAGAAGCAGGCTAAGGCTTTGGCTGATCTCTGCCCCACACAGGCAACCTGTGCATCACAGCAAGCCTGTTACAATTCACAGTTGCTTATGGTGAACAACAAATAAGGAAGGAAGAGATTAAATGTGACTCATTTCCCAGGTGAATTCTCAGGCTAACAAAAAAGGAAAAAAAAAACCAAACCAGACTTGTCAGCATCAGTGGATGGTGAGGATACTGATGAAATGTTACATCTGTCTCCTCTGATGTGACAGCAGTGAATCTACTATGATGGATCTGAGCCCCACTTAAGTTTAAATCCAGCCATGATCAAATATTCATGTGCTAGGAAGCCAATTCAAAATGGCATCAGCTTTTATTTATATTTCCTTCTCCAGGGTAAAATGAAACCGTCAATAGTCCTCATTTTAATAAATGAAGCTCAGAACAGCAAAAAGAAACTAAACACCAAGGATCTAAGCCACTCAGTTACGCTCTGCTTCATCAAAATCAAATTCTATTTTAAATTGTGACAGTGGACTCCACCAATACAATAAGCATCAAAGTGGGACCTCACAGGGGTTTAAGTCAGTTCCTGGGCAGTAATACAATGAATAGCATCTGGCTGGTGTCACTCCACAGTGTAATACCATGACTAGTACCACCTGCGTAGCTAAGAACAGAAAAACAGAAGTTAGGGGAAAAAAAAAAAAGGTATGGAAGTGGAAGAGCATCTGCTCAGGCTATTTAACCAGTCCATAGTTGGCTAAAATAAAAAGTAAATCAAAAGGAGTCACAAACACTCAAACGTATGATATTTACTTTGGGTCAATGAAGTTTTGTCTTGCATTGGATTAGTAAGAGGCCTTACCTGCAGCACACAGATGGCCTTCTCTGGGTGTTGCTGTTCTGTAATAAACAGGATAATCATTAAAAGCTCTGATTTTACCCACCTGTGGTAACACAACATATCTGGCCAATCTCCTTAAACAAAGGCTCAAACCCCCAGTTCTTCAGACACAGATTGCTCCCACTCACAAAGAGATTTTATCTTCTTCACATTCTAGAGCCCCTTCAGCTCCCAGACATCAGCTGAAGGTCTTCCCTCCACAATTAAAAGCTTTTCCTTAGCAAAAAGTACTTTTATTGTCATGTATGTTTTCTAACACTGTCAGTAGAAATGACCCAGTGTCTTTAATGCCTTATACTGTGTTTTACTTACTGGGTTTGATTTTAGACCACTCACCTGCTAAGTGCAAACACCTGCTTTAGCAACACTCCCTTCTTCAAGCACAGCACCTGCAATGAGCCATCACAGTCAAAATGCAAACAGCAGGGCAGACACTCAGTTTTCAGCAGTGCTTGCCAGAATACAGCCATTGAAACAACACCTGAGACCCTCTCAATGTACCCGTAACCCTCCCGGTCTCTCCACAGCCTCCAGCCACTATCACTCCCCAAAATACCGCTGCAATAAAGATGAAAGGGATGAAGGAGGATGATGACTGAGGTAACAGTGTGCACCCCCTCACTTTGCTTCAGGATCCAACAAGTTGCGGTGGAAGGCCCTCCTCCCCTTGGTTATAGATCGTGTTCATCCCTCACACCATCCCACCAGGTTACAACAGCCATATGAACAACCCTCGTGCTTGTTTCAGCTCCACACAGACAGAGGGAAATGCAAATCATCCATTGCCAAGAGCTTTGCTGTCACCACAACCCTGCCAGGCAGTAGTATGCCAAAGGGGGGGGGGGGGGGGAGGGGATAATTACCCAGGTAGAGGTTAATTACCAGATGTAGAGGATAACTAGCAGAAGGATAAGGAGGACCAGGGATCTGCTTGTCCCCGAGGGCAGTGCCAGGGCGGGGGTGAGGTATAACAGACCTTGTGTCACTGAGGTGACCCACGTGTGCCTGATGGGGGGTGTTGTGTGGAAGTGTCTCTACCCCTGGCCCATGTACACCACGGTAAGCGACTCAGGGTCAGGTTTGTGTCCCCCCAGTCTATCCCCAGGGCTGAGTTGGGCCTGCCGCCCACCCCCAAAATTTTACAGTAGCAGAGCTGAGCCTGACCCTCCTTGTCCCCAGAACCAGGCCTGTCCCTCCCCTTCCCGCCTCCGAGGCCAGGCCCGGTGTCCTCCCCCGCTTCTAGGGCTGAGCCCGGTGTCCCGTCACAGCCCGCCGGTACCTTCGGCAGCGCCGCGTTCATCCCCACACCTCAGGACGGAGCTGCGTCCGTTGCTCAAAGAGTCCCCACAGCCTCCGCCCGCCGGGGTGGAGGGAAAACGTCAATTTTTAAACATACACACACACACCCCCGGTGCTCGCAAGGCCCCAGTCTCCTAAAAGGGGGAGCGCGGTAATGGCGGACACCTTGCCCCCCTCACGGAACTGCGCGACGTGGCAACGGCTACGCGGTGCACACAACCCTGCTAGCCGCGGCCCGCCCACCGCTCCTCCTCGCCAGCTGGTTGGCCTTCCGCCGCGTCCATCGAGTCGCGGCACGGCGGCCATGTTGAGTGTGTCCTGCGTGGAAGGGCGCCCGTGGCACAGCCAGCCCCCGCCCCGGCGTGGTGCGGCGGCCATCTTGAGTGTGGCCCGGCCTAGAGGCGGCCATGTTAGCGCGGCGGGAGAGCGCTGTGAGGGGGAGCGGGGGTGGAGGGCAGCAGGGGTCGAGCAGGCTTCAGGGCCAGGTGGTTTGCGTTCACGAGTCCTCAGCCAGCTCACGTTGGTCCCGCTGGCCGTGGGATCAAGGCGAGGACCCCATGGGGTCTCAGCAGGCCCCTGCTCCCAGACCCTGTGGGGTGTGAGGGCAGCTATGGCCGGCCTGGGTCTGCAGGCCTGAGGCAGGGCTGGAGGATTTGGAACTAAACCTGGCTGGTTTGGCTCTGACATCTGGAACGAGCACTGCAGAGGGTTTGGGTTTTTATGGTTGCGGAGGCAGGGTCGGGCCTTACCCTGTAGTCAACAGTCGTGTAATGGTTAGGGGTTGACTCTGTCTGTGCTGGCAGGCTGCTGCAGGCCTTGAAAATGGAGTGCATCAGCATGAGGTGTTCGGGCCCTATGGCAGGCGTGCTTTCAGCTTGTGGGGGAAGCAAAGAAACTATTTCAGCAGCAGACTGTTCCCTCTGAAGGCAGAGTGTATCCTGCCTTACTTACACCGTTTTGATCCCAGCTGCTGTCTGGAGGCACTTATCTAAATTTGCTGTTGGAAGACTGTAGGAAGGATGGACTGTTAAGGAACTTCCTGATTTGGAGCATGCGTTTCCCAGTGGGAGAGGAGGTGGGCAGGGGGGTCTGCTTGGCAGAGCAGGGTGGGAAGAGATGGGTGCTCTGTGGCCCTGTGCCCCGCAAACCAGCCAGTCTGGAGTTGCCTTGGGAAAACCCATCCCATTGCAAACTGCCCCCTTCTGTCATTCCACCTTTATTTTCTTCATTAGGCCATCTCTAATACAAGTTGTCATTTCTCCTAGGCTCTTCCCTGCTCCATTCTCTCCTGTATGGCCCCAGTTTTCCCCTTGCGTGGCAGATACTCCTGCCCATTTCCCTAAGCCCCCATCTTAGAGCTGTCCATTTGGGGCAGCAGCTGCCTGGCAGCTTGATTTCGGGTCAGGATTTCCAGCTCTGCTGACTGATTGCTGCTCCAGTTGCTTTCGGCTGGAGCTGTCAGGGCTCATGATAGACTCTCTCTCTCCAGTTCATCTGCGTTCACTGATGTGGCAAGTCTCCTCTGCTGCAGACCAGACTCCTGCATTTGATTGCTCCATGATCCACACTGCCAGGTCCTGTCCTGCATTTCTGAGTGCCTGGAGCTCCTGTTATATGCCTGACACCCCAGATGTTCATCCCCATTGCAATCTGGTGCATGGAGGGGAGAGGAGGAACATGAGGGGACAAGGTTTGTCTGAAAAAAGAGCCCAGGTGGGCTCTGTGCCATGCACACAGCTGTGCTGTCTCCTCCAACCACTCAGCGTATGGAGGAATAAGGGAGGATCAGTGCCACCTTTGCTCTCTCCTCCACGTTTTGCAAGGACATGGGCTCCCAGCTCTGAGCTGTGTTTTCGTGGCACTCCCCGGACACGACAAAACTGCTTATGTGGAACGGATGTTGTACTGCCCTTTGATCTCACCTCGAGAGCCCCAGGCAGGGCCACCCTGGCAGTGACACTTGTTCGATAACTCCAGGGTGCTTCAAGCAAGGAGCACTGTGTGAGTCTGCGCTGGGTTAAGGCTGGCATTCCCATTCCAGGAAAGCTGGGCTTCTCCTACAGTAAACTTTGAAGACCTGGAAGAAATTCCATGCTTGAGGAGGGGCTGCTATAACGGGAGGGGGACTGACTGGTCCTGTATTTGAGGGGACAGGCTGTGATGGGCACTGAAATGAAGAGCAGGTCATGCTTACAACGCCCTTTTGTTCCATGACCTCAAATGCTGTGTGCTCATGGAGGGGCGCTACACCCCCTAATTGCCTCTGCCCCTCATGGGGACTCATCTTTTGGCCACTCACAAAATGTGGCTGAGGAGGGAGCATTGCCCCAAACTGAGTTTGAGGTACAGCAGTCACTGCAAAACATATTGCAGGAATCTCCTTCCCGATGACCATCACTGGCCTATGTGTCTCAGTGGAAAATGAGTCCATCTCTCCGGTGTGGAGTTTCTCTGACACCTATCATAGATGGGTACATTTTAAGGCCAAAAGGGACTGTTAAATGATGTAATTTTTTGTCTCCTGCACATTGCAGCCTATAGATTTCCACTGACTTACAGCTGTATGGAAGCAGATCACTCCTGTTTCGATGAAAGCATCTTTCTCATAAAGGCTCCTGCTCTTGATTTTCTCTGGATACAAAGATAGCTCTGCTCTTGGCAGCTTGTTCTGGCGGCTGAGCACCCTCTCTTTTAAAAACGTGGACCTTCTTTCCAATTTGAATGTTTCTCAGCTTCAGCTCCCAGCTGCCTGTCCTCACTGTGCTTTTCTTTGACTAATGAATCGTTTCGCAGCCAGGTAACCGAATCCCTGCTTGCAGGAACGCAACCTGCCTTTTTGTGACATTTAAAAAAAGAAGCCAAGGTGTTGCTTTGTTGCTTTCTCCCTCAGCCACAGAAACCCAAAACACTCATTTTCTATACTGTGCTAAAAAAAACCAGGGAGCTCTTCTTAAGGCTCCCTCTGCTGCTAAGAGGGCCAGGCCTTGCTGGAGGGATAATTTCATCCATCCTCTTCAGCTTCACTACAGATTTCTCTCCCCATCACGTAGCTGGGTGTGCCCTGTCAATGACCCAGCTTGGTGCACAGCAGAGGTGATGCTCAAGCAGTTTGCGACCTCCACAGAAGGCTGTTGCAGGCTCCCTGCCCCTTCTCCATCCGCTCTCTATCATGCTGTCTGGAGGAGCAAAGCTGTCATAGGAGAGTTGTGATCCAGTACCTGAAAGTCTACATTTCTTTTTGGACTTGTCCGATTACAAAAACAATCAAAAAGTGTTTAAATACACCTTAGAAAAAATTTTCTGATAGGTGTGTCTCCTCTTCTACTTTCTGCAGTGCTTTGCTGAAGGCCCACAGCAGTTGGTGGGATGATCTCCCCTGGCTCCAGCAAGTGGAGGCAAATCCCTCAGTTGCTTTATCTTGAAAGCCTCATCCATATCCCCTGGCAGCCCCTCGGGCTGAAACCTCTTTGGCAGGCAATGCAGAAGTGTTCCCTTTGCTCAGCGCAAAGAGATGCTGAGGCTGAGCAGAGCTGTTGTGATAAAAATAATTGTTACTAACAGTCAAGACTTCTCCCTGGTAGAGAGCCTGTTTTCCCAGGGATCGGATGGAAATATCCCTGAATCCATACTGACACATAAACAAGGACAATATATGTTTTTAAAATGATGTTGGAATTGTTTGAATCTGGTCTCTGAGTCTGGATTCCCTTTCACTCCCGTGTAGGAGAGAAGCCACATGACCATTGCCACAGCAAGGGGGAATCGCTCCCAAACGATGGGTGCAAAGCTGAATGCGAGCTCCTGCTTATATCTTTTATTAAAACTTACTTAAATTTAATCACCTTATTAAAGACACATTTTCGGTTCACTGGCAGTTCAAGGCCTGGAAAAAAAAAAAAACCTTGGAGAAGCAGTTAATGATGTTGAGGGAGTACAAATGAAATGATCAAAAATAGAGAGCGTAGACCATTTGGTTTTCAAAATGCTGTCTAATTCTGCACCTGGATTGTGAATGCTGGTAGGGGTGAAACTCATGTCCGAGAACAAGACCCCTGGAGTGGGAAGGTTCAATGAATGTTTCTGTTCACTGGGCAGAGATGGAGCACAGAGACCACGGCTGGAGACACCCAACGAAGGACATTCGTGGCCGAGGGTGACCTACCTGCAAGCAAATCCCTGCCGAGAGCCTGTGCCCCCTTTGGCTACATGGAGCATTTACAAATCCAGGAAAGTGGCTCATGTGGAGATGGAATACTATTAGTTTCAACCCATGATCTTTTTCAAAGAGGAGATGGATTTGGGGCATGGTGTCCCCTTAGCAGAAGAGATGAGATGATGAGATGTAGCCCTCAGGCTGTGGAGAGGCAGGGGTTGAGATGTGAGAGGGTGCAAGAGAACAAAATTATCTGGCAACGACCACATTTAGGAGGACTAAATGAGTGGTGGATGCCATTTCCCTGACCATCAGAACAGAGAGGCTCTGGAACAATCTCCTAGATGGGAAAATGGTGGAAAACCTACCCATTTCCAAGTGGAAAATACCCCATGGAGCATTATTTGGGCCTTGTTGAGTGGATCACCAGAGATTTGCACCAACATCAGCATGAAACGACCATGGGGGAGCTGCAGACCCCAGAGGGCTCTGTGATTGAGAACATTCTTGTTTCAGGCAGCCAAATTCCTGGGAATTCCTGAGCTGGATTCCTGAGATATTCCTGGCAGGTGATACCAATGACAGCTGAAGCCCAAGGGGGTGAGTACTTTTGAAAAATCACATTTTGTATTCAAATTCAAGCAAGAGAGTATTGATCGGTGCGGGATTGCACCAGTGTTGGAGAGGAAGGAGCAAGGCTGCATGGGCGAGAGGCATCCTGAAGCCAAGGTTTAAACAGGAGGGGCCAGGGTGCAGCTAGGAGCCTCCTCATTCACTGAAGCTTAAGGGTGAGCTGGGCAAAATGGGGAGAAATGGGCAAAAAATAGCTAAAGGGAGAGCTGTCCCTCTAGGTGGGGTTCTGGCCTCTCTCCCAGGCAGGGAGGGAGCTCTAGGCTGTTTGTGAACAACAGGCCCAGACACCACAAAATGGTGACACTGGGAATCATTGCCCTTGCTGGGAAACATCTCCCTACTGCGAGGGTTCCACTGGGGCCGTTGTGGAGTGTCCCCAGGAGACGCTTCTCTGACAGGAATATCTGAATCAGTTTAGGTCTAGGCTTTTGGTCTAAGGAC